TTGTGTTTCTTAACCGATCTTAATGAAATTTTCGACAGTACATCTTATTATAACCTGAACCCATTAAAAATGGGTAAACAGGGTATAATGTATTTGTGCAAATGCATGTAACAGACAGAAGGAAGCATCTCCGACCCCATAAAGTATATATATTCTTGATCAGCATCAATAGCCGAGTCGATGTAGTCATGTCCGTCTGTCTGTCCGTCAGTCCGTCCGTCCGTCCGTATGTATGAACGCAAGGATCTCAGAACCTATAAGAGCTGGAGACTTGAAATTTTAGCTGTAGGACCTTCTAGTCCCCGCGCACATCGAGTTTGTTTCCGATATTCGATATCTTTCCCCGCTTCCAAGTAATCGATAAAAATCAATTTTGGTAAATAATAAGAGCTAAAATCATCAAACTTGACATGTAGCTTCTAGAATAGTATATATATATCAAGTATCTTTCATTTTATACATATCGCCTTTTGGAAGAAGAGGGTTCAGGGTATCCCCTAGTCTGGAGAACCGACTAGAACCTCTTACTTGTTACATCATGTCTGAATGGTTTTAAAGCGAGAATGATCAATTTGCGGTAAGAGCAAAGCACAGGTTATTAACGGCATTCTGTTAAAAATAAGCCAAAGAAATAACAGACGAAAATCAAAGCCAAACTAAAACTGTCTTGGTTTTTTCCCGTTTGACTGGTACTGCGCTGCATCACTTGGGGTAAACAGTGGGGCAATTGGCCACCGTGCTCACGCACGACAGCCAATTGACACCGAACTGCTGGGTATGTATTCATTCTATACGCATACATTCTTTAAGTAAACATGGATACCCACATATGAGAATGTAGTTGCCACGGTTGACTACTTACCTTTATTGACCATGCCAATTAATAGAATTAAACAGAACATAGCTTTTACTGTACTCCAGTTATAGTACGGGTTTATTTTCCTTTGCTCACTTGAAGTTGCTCTGTGAACTAGACAGCGGAAAAAAATAAGTAAGAGTGGTCTAGTCGGCCTTGATCGACTAAGAAATATCCTGTACTCAGCGGCGAGCTCCCGCAACAAGCATGAACTCTTCTTTGGAAATAATGTCATGGAACCCAGTTCGCTATCTGTGTAAGTTCCAAATATAAAATGTACCTATATCGTACATAAGGACAAGTTGGGATCGATTAAGCTTGCCCTATATATCTGGAATATATTTACTCAAAGGAGACTTTAACACAACTGCAAAATACCTGGATACTGGGTTGCTTTTAATGGATATAAAAACGGCAAGACTCATAAAAGGAGTGTTTGTATAATATTACCTCATAGTTTACTCTCTATAAAGTTACGATATGATAAATTGAATATATACCAAGTCGTTAATTGCATTTTTTTCATTTAACAAACAAGGAGGAAGAAGGCTAAGGTATCCAACACATGAAATATTCTTAATATTCTACGCCACTTTTTTCCCTAAAGTTGATGTCTTTCGGTCTTATATACTACGAAAAATTTATAAAATTTTAAGTTCTTTTCGATTTTAATTGAATTTAGAATAATATAGAATATTCTGTGTGTGCCATAGTTGAGCTTACAGCCCAATTTTAAAGTGTTCGTTCTTTATATGTAGTCTCTGAGATCGACGCACACATACAGACGGATGGAAGACAGCAGTCATAGTTAGATCGGCTCGTTTTTTGCTTTGTACAATTGTAACCCCTTCAACCATTTTCTACATGTCCAGGGTATAACAAGCAAGACTGCTCACGTCGGGAGTGCCCGACTAGGGGATATCCTGAACCAACGAACGAACCGATTGTCACGATTATGAATGTATGTCTGCTCATCTATTAATACCCTAACCTATCATTATGAAAGTTCCTGGCATTGAACATTCGTATATTCACAAAAAGTTAACAGCCTTAAAATTGTGGCTGCAAATTGTTGTGTTGTTCCAGTTCGAATTTGTATTCATTTGATTTTGTGGGATAAGGAGGCGGCATCCAAAAACTGATCTGTATATACTATACTAAAAGCTAAGTGGCAAATTGGTAACTCAAGGTCTTAAAACCCAAAAGATATTCTCAAAAAACAGGATTTCTATTTCGATTTTTATAGATTGCTTGGAAACATGCAGATTCAAACTCGTATAGCATGCACTTCAGGGGAACTTAAATTCTCAAGCTTTTATAGATAAGATCGACGCGTAGAGAGACGCAGCGAGACGGACGGAAAGACTCGGGCATTTGAAGCCGACCTAGAATATATACATTTTATGGGGACAAAGATGCTTCCTTCTGCCTGTTACATACATTTCAACAAAACCATTATACCCTTTTTACCCATTTTCAGTAGGTTCAAGGTATAAAAACTTTACGTCGGTAACAATAGGGCAACAAAGCCGGCACTTTAACGCGGAGGTTGATTGATAAGTTACAAGCAACGGTTATATTAATAGTATACAACAGGTCATTTGGTATTTCAAAATTATTATATTTGTCTAAGGTTTGCAAGAGTAATAAGATCAAAGGCTTAAAATCAATATATAATAAATAAAGTTTCTGTTAACAAATAATTCTTGTTGATCAATACTAATTGATGGATACATAAAATGAATGATTAAATTTGTTTAAATTTTTAGCTTAAGTTTATTTAAAAAAGTGCAAGTTATAAGAATATCATTATTGATTTTCGCACATCTAGTATAAGTTAATATAATACAAAATTAAATCTCATGCTAATCCAATGCTAATCCGCTTTGGAAGTATGTTAGATTTGGTTAAACTTATTATAGAAAACCAATATTGAAATTAAGTAAGAAACGGTTGCGATGTTGCTTTAGTCTTCATTAAATTCCTACATACGTGCCAAATATGTCTTCAATCAGCCCTCGCACAAATTGTGTAAAGCTCTGCGATTGCGCAGCATGCTTGTATTTCACGTCTGCAACAATGCCACAACAATGACAAACAGCCAACCGAGCAACCGACCAGTCGACCGACCAACCAACAAACCGAGCAGCCAGCGAACCAATCAACCTTATGGTGACGGTGGTCGGTCGTCGGTGCACACGCGCACTGCTGCGAACTTCTGTAAGCAAAGCGCCAGCTTAAAACCAGTTATAAGTCAACTTTCATTCCAAGCAGACGTGTCAGGCGTACGGATCGGATCGCGTTTTTGTGTGTTTTGTTTGGCAACAGCGAACTCCGTATATATATACGATATATATATATATATATATATATATATATATATGTATATAACTATCTATATATACTATTACTTTCGTATATATATATTTATATCGCATATCGTATGCACATGCAATAAATTCACAATCATAGATAACCATTTATTAAAAAGTTGCTGCTCAAGCCAAAAAGTATCGTTTTTGTTTAATACATTTTTTTATGGTGCATTTTTTCACGAGTAAAGGAAACAGCAATAATCAACTTTAACTCCCACTCATAAAATTGTGGATAGTAAAAGCAGAACATTTCCAGAAAGCGAAATCAATAATTCTGGCCATATATGTAAATGGTATAATCGTAAATATATGTATATATACGAAAATATTTTTGTATCTGTATGCATATATTTTCGTGTGTATGTGACATAAAAAACTCAAATCGGGGATTATTTTTTATTTTAACTGACTGTGTGCGTTTTCGTGGTTTAACAGTTCTAATTCGATTTGAGCGCATTGTACTTTCTCATATGGATTCAATTAACACTTCGAATTTCGAATTTATAAGACACTAGCTAAAAACCTATAAACCAAATATTTGTTGCTATTTAGCCAGTAGCAATTAATACCACAGCACAAAACACCAGAAACAGCATTGATAACTAGTGAAAGATACTGGACGTAACGAAAGTTGCTTATGAGATTGGAGAAACCGGCCACCGAAATTCTCCTCTCAGCACAGTGAACATTTAGCGTTCACCATACAAATTTGTATACCCTGTGCACATTAAAATTGGGTAAAAGAAGGGTATAATAATTTAGGCAAGTGTATATGCAGTTTTGACCCCATTAGGCATATATAAAATCGATATTGTCGACGAATGATTACGAAATCTAAAAGAGCTTCAGGCGTGAAATTTAAAACATATTCCCACATATACATATCTCTCGCAATTTTCAGAATATTGATAAATAGAATTTTTTATGTTTCCCTCGGAGGAGCTAGAAACACTCTGATCTCATTAGCATTGATCAAACCTAAAGCTGGTTGCGGACTGCGTGCTTGTGCGCGCGTGTGTATATGTGTTTTTGTTTATGTATGTTTGTATGTATAGAAAAAAGTTCAAATTCTTCTGGACTTAGGGTAACTTATAGTCGGGCACTTTCGACTAGAGCACTCTTACCTGTTAAAATGTATCATAACACACCTAATAAAGCAATCGTTCGACCATAGGCAACATGCCCCAGGCCAAGTTAGCCAAGCTAACAAAACGCAAATGAAGCCTTGAAAGCGGTCAAAGTGCTGCATATTAATACAAGCAGCCAATGAAAATAATGACAATATTTGTTAATACCACTACGTAAAAAGTACTAACGTTTACAAACTAGTGCAATATTCGTCCCTTATTTCCATAGGATACCTAATAGGTATAAATGTATCTGCTTTCCACATATGAATGGATTTGTAGGTACCTACATCATTCCATCATTCAGTATGACTGATTTAGGCTTCAAAAAGTTTTTGCTTCAAAGTCATTGCCCGGTTATTGTGATTTTTAATGATGAAATGCATTTGTTTTATACACCAATACGTACATACATAGATTAACATGTATTCATACATATTTTCATGATTAAGCAGTGAAAATTCAATGTGAATGCAAAATGAAAATCTGGCGAGTGTAAGACAGCAGCTCATGGCTTGTACTCACATAGTTGTGAATATTGATTGAATATATGCATTTATACATATGCTGCACATGCAATTATATAAGTACATACATAAACACATAAAAAATAGGCATTTGTATGCATATGGTGATCATATATGATGCTACAACTGTAAATACCCCCACTAATCAACAGCTAATAACAGCAAAAAGCAAACAATGTTTTGCTTTTGCCGCAGGTTATTGTTCGTCTCGGTTGCACCTCGACTGGAAAACGTTTTTCAAAGAGCCATGGCCTTTTCAAAACATACGTTCCCTCCAACCATAATGCTGATAATGATGATGATGACGCTAATCACATCCGGGAGTTGCCACAGTAAGTTCCTTCCTAGCAAATTTATTCATAACATTAGCATTAAGATTATAATATAATTTCAATCATCAAATGAATTTACAAGAATGCAAATCTTCGAAAAATGCATATTTTATATATATTATTTGCGTGGTCCTATGACATTAGCACTCATAGGCTTAAAGATCGACTTGGTATTCACACACGTATTGGCTAGGTCGACATACACATACATTTATGTACATACATACATTGTATGCAATATAGTAGCGGATATTCCTTTAAAGTGATTCATTTACACATTTTACTCTTTTAAATGGTTGAGATGTTTAAAAATTAAAATATCAAATATAATTACTGAGTTAACTAACTCTTTAATTTCGCTGTTACGGGTTTTAGGTATTACATACACCTATGAGATATGTTTATAAATAACATATACGTTTTGTATCCGCCTGTTTTGCCATAAAGGAATACAGATTCAAGCTGTATTCCTATCACACAGGCTATCTCCTTGCATATGTACTCGAAAGTGAAAAGATTAAAAAAACATAAATTTTGGTCAATAGCCGTCTGTCTCTAAGTATGAACGACGCCCCTGCAGACGCGGAAAATCGCGGATATCAATATCTTCCACAGTTTGAGAGCGTCCTGAAATTCGGAATGAAACCTACTGATAAGCTGAAACACTGTCCCATTTGCTTTCGAGTACACTTATATTTACAGCAAGCTGTTGATTCAGCCACTCCCTACACATTAAAAAAAATGTTGTTTAAAACCATATTTGTGTTTATATATAAGAATTTTAAATCGAGTTTACCTTTTGCCGAAGTTGGAGTTAAACGACTGAGTAAAAAGTGAGTGGTTCTTTTCGCTTTTAAGACCCAAGTAAAAATTTAAATTAATTCACAATTAAAATAAGACCAAGAGGTATGAATGTAAAATTAAATTGGTATAAACAAATTGGTAAGAGTTACAACAAAAATTTAAATGAACTAAGTATATAATATTTTGTAATACTTAATAATAATAATAGTAATAATAATAGTAATAAAAAATAATAATAATAATAATAATAATAATAATAATAATAATAATAATAATAATAATAATAATAATAATAATAATAATAATAATAATAATAATAATAATAAAAATAATAATAATAATAATAATAATAATAATAATAATAATAATAATAATAATAATAATAATAATAATAACAATAACAATAATAATAATAATAATAATAATAATAATAATAATAATAATAATAACGTAGTAAAGGGGAAAAATACTGCGACCGACATGGTTTATTATGCGTGGGGCTCCCTAAGAGAGAATGTGGTATAACCAATTTATGGATTTGAATGCCAACGAACTTACGACAGCAGTTAGCATAATGTCTAGATGTTCTACAATTCCAATTGAGTCTCTTATACAGAACTACTCCCAGGTATTTGACGTCATTAGATAAATCCGTAAATCCCAACGATAAATGGATATAAAGACCTACATCGATTATGTACCGTTCAGAGAACAGAACGACAATCGCCTTTCGTTGGTTGATGTTGAGATACCGCAGTCATCATTTACAATAAGAGGTTATGAATTCTATCACTAGGCACCAAAGGAGATAACATTCCTTCCACTGAAGGAATGCGTGCAGAGATGGCGACCAGTGCCGACGTTCCAAGCTAAGTGCCCTGGATATAAATGGGCAGCCAGAGTTATTGAAAGCACCCTCACAGGATGCAAAGGTATTTACAGCGCAGCGAATACCAACTTATTACCTATATGATGGAGAGTGACCTCAGTCGATCTACAAACAATTACTTTTATTTTCAATTGCTAGTGAAGAAACCATAAATTATAATGTAGATGCTGTATAGAATTGCAAACTGATCATGCCATTTACCAATTATCATTGACCGATCCTTGGCCATTAGTTACACCAAAAACATGGTAACAATATTTATATCTGGATCCTTAGAAGAAGGTTTCACTAGTTTTTGAGGCACTTTTTAAAGCACTGTGGGAGGAATAGACTGCGGTTTACGCGCCACTAGAGGGAGGGGCCCAAAAAATTCAAAATTTAAATTCTTTAGCTTCAACACCATCGTATATATGGATGGATGGACAGTAAAATAGACATTGTACAAAACCAATATACTCTTGTCGCCATGTGAACGAATATAAAAAAAACAAGGGAATTTCCAATGCTATATCACTGTTTTTTAAACCCTTGCCGACTTGGTTGTATATATTGATTAAGAACTCATTTTAGTATCAACAGTTAACTCGATATAGCCATGTCCGTATGTCTGTTGGCCTTAAACCTATCTACGTGAAGCGACAAAAATTAAGTTCGTGCATTAAAACCTTTTTTAAAGATGTATACAAGGGCATTTAGCCTTCGGCGCACGGAAGAAAGCCATTCTTTCTTGTTATTATGAGACACATAATATATAAAGCAAAACTCATATATGTAAGTATGGGTATCATAAATACTGGTTACACCGGATAAAAGCGATTGTAGTCTAATAACAATAACTGCTTTTTATACGGCTCTTGGGGAGAAAAAAAATCATTGAAGTTAGCAACACTTTGCAAAGGGAGACACCTGACATCAGCATCTGGAACAGCAACAACATTCGCAAATATCGCACAAACCCCGAACAACTAAAATACCAAGCCAAGCCAAACGAAACCATTAAGAAACAAATAAATATCAGCGAGCAGAATATTATATTATATCTTTCGGACGTATAGAAATACACTTTAAAGTATTCGAGTCTTAGTCAAAAGAAACTTATCTTCATAAACCTTAACTAACAACTTGTCCGTCATGTCCCAAAATATCAAATGTGCAATGAAACATTTTTGGGAAGATAACCGAAAAAATATAGTTTCAGTCGAGTGCATCCGGGTGCACAATACCCTGTTCATTGTGTAATTATCTCTATATATAAAACTGTTTGTCCTGACTGACTGAATGACTGATTGGTGATCAACGCACAGCCCAAAACCGTAGCAGCTAGGAGGCTGAAATGTTCACTGTAGTTACCTTATGTGATGTAGGTGCACGTTAAGACGGGGTTTCGGGAAATTCCACCCGCAAGTGTGAATAAATCGCGAAAAACGTTTGTATGTAACTTGTTTGTTTACCATCCGATCGGCCTCAAACTTATTTTCAAAGATCTTTGTTCAAATTCATTTGAGGGGTGTTTCACACTTTTAGGAAAATTCATTCTTCCTTGGTGGAAATGGAGGTCAAAGATTTGGTGGGTGACGTTTCGCGCGCAAAATCATTTCCAAAAATCTATAAGAAAAATCATTTGAGACGTGTTTCACACTTTTCGCAGAATTCAAACTTCTTCGGGGGGAATGCGATTTAAAGATTTTTTGGGCGAAGTTTTAAGTTGTGTCCGATTTGCTTCAAACTTATTTTCAAAGCTATACATAAGAACTTAATAAATACGTATTTCAGCGATTTAGGAAATACCACCCGCAACGGTGGTAAATTGGCGAAAAACGTTCGAATGTAACTTTTTTGTTTACGATCCGATCGGCCTCAAACTTATTTTCAAAGATCTTTGTTCAAATTCATTTGAGGGGTGTTTCACACCTGTTCGAAAAATCCGTTCCTCCTTGGTGGAAATGGAGGTCAAAGATTTGGTCGGTGTCGTTTCGCTCTCAAATTCGTTTCCAAAGATCTATAAGAAAAATCATTTGAGACGTGTTTCACACTATTCGCAGAATCCAAACTTTTTCGGGTGGAATGCGACTCAAAGATTTTTTGTGCGAAGCTTTAAATTGTGTCCGATTTGCTTCAAACTTATTTTCAAAGCTCTACATAAGAATGTAATGAATACGTGTTTCAGCGATTTGGGAACTTCCACTCGCAACAGTGGTAAATTGGCGGAAAACGTTTGTATGAAAGTTTTTTGTTTACCATCCGATCGGCCCCAAACTCATTTTCAAAGATCTGTTCAAATTCATTTGGGGGGTGTTTCACACTTTTTGAAAAATCCATCCCTCCTTGGTTCAAATGGTTGTCGAAGATTTGGTGGATGACGTTTTGTGTTCAAATTTATTTCCAAACATCTATATGAAAATTATTTTGAGACGTTTTTCACATTTTTCGCAAAATCTAAACTCCTTCGGTGGAAAGTGCGATTCTAAGATATTTTTGGTGAATTTAAGGTTTTGTCCGATTTGCATAAAAGTTTGGTTCCCGTCCGATCAGTTTCAAAATCATTTTCAAAGCTTTTTGAAAACATTGATTTTATAACATACGTGCCACGGGCAAGGCCGGGTTATACCCGCTAGTAACGTATATAAGTTAAAAAATGTCTTCTTGAATTTGGAGTATTAAGTCTGATACCACAAAGCAGGGGCCTCTAACCTGTAAAATTAGCAAATATTGATTAGATAAAAGCATTATAAGTCTGGAAGATACCATTTGTTGTTGTTTTCTTGCCACATGGTGGGCACTTTAACACTTGTCTGATGCAAAGATGTATATATTCAAAATTTCAAGACTCTAACTTCAAACAAGTAATAGGTTCTAGTCGGGAGCTCCCGAACCCTCATCTACCAACAGGTGATAGGTATAAAATGAAAGATACTTGATATACTATTCTAGAAGCTAAATGTCTAGTTTGGTTACTCTAGCTCATATTATTTACCGAAATTGCACAAAAAACAGGATTTCGATATCAATTTTTATCCATAACTTGGAAACGGGGCAAGTTATCGAATATCGGAAACTAGGAGGACCTACAGCTAAAATTTGAAGTCTCTAGCTCTTATAGGTTCTGAGATCCTTGCGTTCATACATACGGATAGACGGACGGACGGACAGACAGACGGACATGGCTAGATCGACTCGGTTATTGATGCTGATCAAGAATATATATACTTTATGGGGTCGGAGATGCTTCCTTCTGCCTGTTACATACATCTGCACAAATACATAATACCCTTTATACCCATTTTTAATGGGTACGGGGTATAAAAAGAGCCAAAAACATTGAGTTTATAGATGGATGATAAGCAAGAAGAAAAGCAAGATGGTCAGCTAGTCGGATATTGTACAATTCCAAAATACACTATACACTGTTTGAACGAATATGCAGTGTGCCCAATCCGGGTAGATGGTGTCGGCCTGTGCCCATTAGTCTTAAATTATGTAATATTGGTAGGTAGGCATGCCGTTTAACAATAATGAGAGTTTTATTCTTAATTATTGCAAAACCTGAATAGAAAATGTTGTTGGTATTTAGCGGCATACACACAAATATACACCGAACTTCATATATACTAACTAACAATCGTGTTTAAATTTTAAGCACTATGGGAACATTTTTAAAGTTGAAAATTAAATTGTTCGTTTACAAATTATGGTCTATGGGAAAGAACCCAAAACATAAAAGAATATATTACATACATGTAGTATATGCAAATTTTAACTTTGAGAATGTGTTCTTATATCAAGGAATACAAACGAAACCCAACCGAAAGAAACACCCACACCAATAATGCGTACAAATAAATGTGGCAGCTACACATGTATATGTATGTATGTATAAGGCCCTGAAGACCATTCCCAAATTTCTGGACTTTTAAAAGGTTTCTGAATGCGGCATTTATTTTTTTGTTTTAATTTTAAAAACTTGAACCTCGATGACTTACCAAAGACATTTTAATTTAACCAATTAATGAAAATAAATTCAATCGCTATAGAAAGTTTTCAAAAATTAATAGATCTTCTATTTATTAATTAATAATTTCAATATTTAACCTCTATATATAAAACTGTTTGTTCTGACTGACTGATTGGTGAATAATGCACAACCAAAACTGAAAAAGCTAGGAAAACGAAATTTACTTATTATTTACTGGATTTACCTTATGTGATGTGAAGACAGGCTTTTGGAAAATTCTAACCGCAAGTGTAGAACAATCGCGAAAATCGTGTGTATACAACTTTTTGTACCCTTGCAGAGGGTATTATAATTTTGTCCTGAAATGTATTACGCATAAAAGGAGACATCTCCGACCCCATAAAGTATATATATTCTTGATCAGTACAACGGCCGAGTCGATATAGCAATGTCCGTCTGTCTGTTTCTATGGGAACTAATCTCTCAGTTTTAAAGCTGTCTTTATGAAACTTTGCCGAAGTGCTTCTTTCTGTTGCACGCAGTACATATCGGAGCCAGCTGGATCGGACCACTATATCATATATCTGCGATAGGAACGATCGGTCGAAAATTAAGTTGTTGTATGGAAAACTTTTTTGTTTTTCAAGATATCTAAACCATACTCGGCATTAACTATTTTACCTGTACTTCTTAGATACGGGCAAAGCACTATAAGCATTATTAAAATGTTGGGTCTGCAAGAGTATTAAATCTTCGGCTTGCCGAAGATTGCCCTTCTTTCTCGTTTCCTTACCATCCGATCGGTCTAAAAGTGAAGTTTCGGCTTGAATTTAATTTCCAATTATCTTTATGAAAATTCATATTAGATGTGATGTACGCTTTTGGCTGTATCTATACCAGCTGACAAACATATAAGCCCATACACAAGAGTTTACTGATTACGTGTTTAAGCGATTTTGCTTTTGCGTGCAAACGGTTTAAGTTTACAGTCTATTATGCTTATTTCCAAAGGTCCTTGTGAAAATTCTTCCCCCTCTTTAATGGAAATGGGTGATAAAGGTGGTATGAACAAAAGTTTATTTTATGGCTTCATGCTTCACAACACAGTACTACAATAAGCGAAAAACGACGAATACAACTTTTAATGCTACAGACTTGACACCTTTTTAAAGAAAATATGAGTAAACAATTAAGATGTTCTAGTCGGGAGCTCCCGACTAGGGGATACCCTGAACCCTCTTCTTCCGACACCAAATGCAGTTCCCGCTACGCGCTCGATTGCTTTAGTAGTAACCAAAATAAATTTTTTAAAAACAAAAATAGTTTCCTTATGAGGCTTCGAACTTGCAACAGACTGCACTACTTGCCGCCGCCCCTACTCAACCACCACACCAATAATTAAACCTTAATGAGAAAAAAAAACCAATTAAAATAGCAGCCTATAAAACAATACAATCGCAGTTGCAATGATGTTGATAGAATTCAAAGCAGTCGCGCATGAATGTGTGTGTGTACATGTATACAGAATTTCTTGGAATTTGCGCCTGCTGCCGCTAATACGAGAAAAGGTACAATACGTTTTTTTAATAACCGATCTTGATGAAATTTTCTAATGTACATCTTATTGTACTAGAGAATTATCAAAAAGTCAATTGCAATTAAATTGTGGTTTATATCGGTGGTCGGCATAAATTGGTGTTTTTACTTGATTTATAGCTATGTGGTAGTAGCGGGGAGGTGGTGATAGCTAAAAAATTAAAGCTAATTGATATATATATACTATTCTAGAAGCTACATGCCAAGTTTGTAGACTCTAGCTCTTATTATTTACCAAAATTGCTCAAAAAATAGCTTTTCGATATCGATTTGTATCGATTACTTGGAAACGAAGTTATCGAATTTTCAGACATTTTCGGAAGATCAAAGATTAAGTGCCATTTATAGGCGTCAGATAATATAGTAATGCAACATGCAGTTAGGTTAGGAGAATAGTGAAGCGCGTGATTGCCAAGTTTCCTATGCGTCGATTGCGTAAAAACTTGTGTGTTTAAAACTGGCTATAAGCCTTCTACAAGGGAAACAACTTTGATTTAAGCACAATGAAAAAACAACTAGTTCTTTAAAATTAGGACTTTACTGTATTGTCCTTTCAATCATGTTTTGAAACTATTACAATAATTATAATGCAATACACATTAAAGCAATTGAAACTTATATCTTTGACAACCCATTCTTCGTACATCTCTGGGCTAGATTCGGATTGACCAAGTATCTATGTTTTTTCCTTCCCTTCTGCCGCTTATCTTTGTGCATTGCAACAACAAAAGTTTTCTGCATCGATATATATATATATATATAATAAAGTATAGTTTGATATATATAATGTGTATTACATGCAGATACATAAATATTTGTATATCCTTTTATATGTCCTTCCGTATATTCATCATTAAAAAGGTATTCACTTTGTTTTGAAATGACAACTGTCAATTTCTGTTAACGAACACCTGATTTATTTTTTAACAGTGTCATAACTGAGCAGGGGTTTTTTTTTAAACGTTTATCGGAAGAAAACCCGATTATTCTCTTAATAATACCATTTCAAATACATATAAAACTATCTTGAAATTCACATATTTATGTACCTAAAAAATATATTATATATGTATATATAAGTCCACAGCGCCCAGTCTTGTGGTTGGAAGCTTACAGCATTAATCCGCATTTTCAACTCAAGAGGGGGAGGATTTCCAAAAATTCAAAAAAATATAACCCGTAATTAACCCGTTACGTCGCACAATAATCAGCACACAAGAATTTTCACAAAATCTTCAAGTGCATTTTTGTAAAGATCCTTGGATATGAGTTTGTACGAGAAACTTCACCCACCAACACATAGACAATAGGTGTAAGAAATTTCTCAGATGATCTTCACAAAGATCTTTCAAACAGTGTTTGAAGCCAACCTGGTGATAAAAAGAATTGCTTGAACTGTACGTTTATCAGCAATCAGACAGTCAGGACAGACAGTTTTATACATACATCTTACACATTAACTTCCCTAAATATCATCCACAATGTTAGTAAATTTAAATATTTGTTAGCAAGTGTAAAAGACGTTTTTTGATTATACTAATCGTCATTAAGTCATTACAAACTTTAGGTCCGAATTGTGGAAATACAAATGTGCGATGTTCAGAGTGAACCGAAATATATGACTCAAAATTAAAAAATATCAGAAATATACTTGGTAAATTATGCCATCAAAGAATGTAAGTAGTTTAAGGCCTCTTGCTCCTGGACGTGGCAATAAAGAACCAAAATATCATGTTTACTTTGTGTACTAAATACAAACATATATATACCTACACATTTGTGCTTGAAAGGAGAATACATATATGTAACTGCAAAGGCAAAAACGCTTTCCGGTTGTACATGCATATGAAAGGGATAGAACATATTTAAAAAAAAGAGAGATATACGCTTTTTTCTTATTGACTTGCTCTAGGTCATGGATCTTTTGTAATTTAATTAAAACACAATATAATTTGATGACGATTGTCGTGATATTAAAGCACAAAAATTAGAAACCTCGAACCAACCAAATCAAAAATCGTATAAAAATAAAAAAGTTGTCATCAGATCACAAAAACTAAAAAACAAATATGTATAATTGTTTTTGTATTTATTTTTAGTTTGTGGTCCGCCGGCAGTGCCTCTTAATGCCAAAGTTCGCACAGTGACCGGCGAGACTGGTATATCAGAGGCACATTACACATGTGATGCTGGTTACGAGCTGTTTGGCTCGCCAACTGGTAAGTGTGATCCCCACAAAGGCTGGGAGCGAGAGCTGCCCTTTTGTGGCGTCAATGTGGCCTACCGCAAGCCGGTTAACCAAAGCTCCTATACGCGCAGTGGTCCTGCTAGCTTTGCGAATGATGGAAAGCCCGGCAATAAGGTAATTATAGTACATTTACCAAACGAACTAAGCTTTGAATGTGATACGATTCTCTCTTGCAGAATCCTGATGGGCAAGAATGCTCGGAAACACAAAAAGAGCCATCTCCTTGGTGGCGTGTCGATCTTTTGGTACCGCAGGCTGTACATGTGGTACGCATTACCACGCGCGGTTGCTGTGGGCATCAGCCGCTGCAGGATTTGGAGATACGAGTGGGCAATAGCAGCGCGGATCTGCAGCGGAATCCACTTTGCGCCTGGTACCCAGGCACACTAGACGAAGGCATTGTGAAGACTTTCACCTGTGCAAGACCGCTTGTTGGCCAGTACGTTGCCATTCAGCTGGTTGGTGTTGAGGGCAGCCTAAGCTTATGCGAAGTAGAGACATTTACTAATGATGAATTTTCCGTGGATCGCTGTCTAAGCCCTAAAATCGGAGTTGATACTGTAGTAACGACATTTTCCAAGACATGCTACGACTTTCATATTACGAAAGGAGAAAGCTTTGAAAAAGCTCAAAGCATTTGCAAGCAGACTGGCAAGTACATTGTTGCATACAAAATAACCTATCGATAATACATGTTAACTAACAGCACTTTTTTGCATCAGGTGGTAACTTGGTTCACGACTTTCGTGGCGCTACGAGCCAATACATTTTATCGGAATTGGAGCGTCGAAAAACTGAGCTAAAGCCACAATTGGTTTGGATTGGCGCACAAAAAGAACCAGGCATTACATCCCGAACTTGGCAGTGGGTTAATGGTACGAAAATATTATTATCTACATATTTAAATGTAAATAACGAACGCTATTCTATTAACAGGGGAAATAGTGCAGAAGCCAGCGTGGGGTAAGGATCAGCCGAATAATTACAACGGAGAGCAGAACTGTGTAGTCTTCGATGGTGGCCGCAATTGGCTCTGGAATGATGTGGGCTGCAATCTGGACTATCTTCATTTCATATGCCAACACTGTATGTGTCATCTCAGAACATATAAAAATATCTAACGTGCTTATCTGTTTTAGCACCGATGTCCTGCGGCTCGCCGGATGCGCGGCAAAACACAACCGTGTTGGGGAAAAAATTTACATTGGGGGAGAAAATTCAATACGATTGTCCAAAGGGTCACTCGCTTCTGGGCTATGCAGAGCGCGAGTGCAAGCCAGATGGTACGTGGAGCGGAGCAGCGCCGACATGTAAATGTGAGTAACTTATTAGAGCTTATGTACCATTTAAATAACAACAACTATGCAGATGTTGACTGCGGGGCATTACCCGAGCTGAAATTCGGTTCTATACACCTGTCTGAGGAACGCACCAGCTATGGAGTGGTGGCTACCTATAGCTGTCATGAGAATTACACGTTAATTGGCAACGAAAATCGAACATGTTTGGAGGAAGGCTGGAATGGTAAGCAGCCAGAGTGTTTGGTTGACTGGTGTCCTGATCCACAAGGGATTCCTGGCGGCAACGTGCACTTTACTGACAAGCGGGCTGGGTCCACTGCCACGTATGTGTGTGAACCGGGATATGTGCTTGTTGGAGAAGCGGTAAGTATCCAATTTTATATGCCAATTCATATATGTACATAATTTTTAATTCGTGTACAGATAATCTCTTGTGGATTGGGAGGTGATTGGTCTAATAAAACGCCTTCGTGCCGGTTTGTCGACTGCGGTGCGCCCGCTCGTCCAGATCGGGGCATATCCATTCTAGTAAACGGTACCACGACGGTTGATTCTATTGTCAAGTACGAGTGTGATGAGGATCATTGGTTAGACGGTCCGTCGGATCTGTACTGTACAAGAGATGGAAAATGGTCTGGCGAAGCACCGGTTTGCGAGCTTGTCACATGTGAAACGCCACAAGTACCAGCCGGCACCTTTGTCATCGGATATGATTACAATGTACACTCTAAAATACAATACAACTGCGATCCTGGGTACATTATGCATGGAAACCCAGTTCTTGAATGCTTGGATACAGGAGAATGGAGTTCCGATGCGCCCTTCTGTGAATGTAAGTGTATCTGTGAGGTGTTATTGCAATGTTACTTAATTAAAATTCTTTTAGATATCGACTGTGGCCCCATATTGCCCATACCGTTTGGCTCCATCAAATATGTGTCTAATACAACACACGTCGGCTCCGAGGTGGTCTTCACCTGCACGCAATCACACAAGCTAAGCGGAGTGCTTAAACGTAAATGCCTGGAATCAGGCATTTGGAGCGATTCCATGCCCAAATGTGAAGGTAGGATTATATATTGTCAATTTTATAGTATGTTGAATTATTGTACATTATATGATTGTTTATGTTCTTAAGAAATTCGATGTCACGAACCGACGCTGCCCACACATAGCCTCTTGTCTGTTACCGGTAATGACCGAATGTACGGGCGCACTCTTATACGCACCGCGGATTCCACACAAAATACAGCACAGACATACAAGTAAGTTGTGACGATTATATTAATCATCTCGTTTCTGGAGAAAATATTGACCCATCGACAGGGATAAATTGATATCCGCAAAATTATGTTGTAAAACTTATATCTATTAACACTTAGATATGATATTTTACTTGGCTTTTCGAATTCTTACTTCTTGTTAATAGTGTTGAATTGTAATTAAGTCGTTGGCATTTCAGAATTGGAGCTCTGGCAAAATATCGTTGTGAGCGTGGGTACAAAATGGTTGGCGAGGCCCTGGCTACCTGTACGGATAACGGCCAGTGGAGCGGTATAAGACCAGAGTGTGTATGTAAGTATAAAGAAGTTATAAGTTAAATATCGATAGACCCAAAACAAGCAAATTCCCTAACTTTACAGATGTGGAGTGTGGAGCGCCAGAAAATATAACTAACGGTAAGGTGACGTTGGCTACCAATGCCACTTACTATGGAGCTGCAGTACTTTACGAATGTAATGCAAATTACAAACTCAATGGCGTCTCACGACGATTGTGTACAGAGCACGGCAATTGGAGCCACGAGGCCCCAAAATGCGTTGAAGTTGTCTGTGATATGCCCAATGTAAGTGATAGTTTAATTGTGGAGGCAGACACTCGCGCCGTTGGCTCGGTGGCTATCTTTAAGTGCGCAAAGGGTCGCATTTTGGTTGGCAATGATACACGCATCTGCCAAAAAAATGGCAAATGGGCGGGCAAGAGTCCCACATGTAGACGTAAGTAATATAAGTTTAAACGGATAAAATATACATATATTGACGCGTTACAATTGTCAATAAATAGCTGTTGACTGCGGACGGCCGTTATCCATTGACAATGGTCGTGTAATTGTCGTCAACGATTCCACCCTATACGGTGGCTCTGCCGAATATCACTGCATACCAAACTACCAAAGGGTTGGTCAGTATCTGCGGAAATGCACCGAGGATGGTGCTTGGAGTGGCAAGCAGCCGCATTGTGAACTGGCAACTGTGGAGGGGCAAGAAAGTTCTGAACTGGGTACAGGTGTTGCCATTGGCGCTACTGTTATTGTAGCGTTGCTCGTCATCTTTGGCCTTATATTCTTGTATCGGAACAAGGCAAGGCCCGTCAAAAATTCAGAAAACATTCAGGCAGCCGAAACAAAAGATGAGCGCAATGCCGCCGTTATGTCATATTCTACGCTAGAGGCAAACAATCGCATGCACATGGACAACAACCCATCCGCGACCTTCAACACATTTCAAGGCGGAGCTGGTCTTCGAGGAGTCCGGAACAACGATAACACTGGCGACGGTGAACGAGTAAACAATCGCTCGGGTGAGTAGAGATTTTTTTACAATTAAAATAACTAATTAATCCAATTAAATATGTATTTGCAGAAAACATTTACGACCAAATACCAAATGAACAGTTTTATGATGCACCTTACGAGATGCGCACAAATGATGAAGTATACGAGCCAGAGCCAGTATCCAATAACGTAATCACAATTAATGGCATATCTGTGCGATAAAGAGCATGAGTTAAACATTTGTTTATATATGTATATAGTAATTTAAGAAAGGACGTGAACAATTCGTAGTTGTGAAAACTCATTTATTACCTACTACCCAAAGCACAATCAAGAGCACGAATATCGACCCTGTGTGTAACAGGCAAAAGAAAGCTTCTCCGACCCTATAAAGTATATACATATGTATATTCTTGATCAGCCTTAACAGTTAGGTCAATTTAGCCGAGTCCGTCTGTCTTTCTGCATGAACACGTTGTCTTAAAAAAATTGTCGTCAAATTTTGAATATAGGACCTCCTAAAGAAGACGTTAAATTATCATTAACTCCTGTCATTTGCCATTTGCGTTTTGAACCCATCTTGTAGAGTATAGGGGTTAGAGGCACACAATTCGGGATTAATTGTTCTATGTATATGGACAATTCATGGCGCCCTCCCCCCACTATTAAAGTAATTTTTTTTGAAGGAATACCCTTGCGCGTTGGGTGCCATATTGAACTCCTCATATTCAACAAACAAAGGTCGCACTAAAAACAACGAAGATATTTAAAAATGCATTTCCTACAGTGTGGATGCGAAGGAAGAAGCACAAGCGCTGCAGCAAGTGAACATGTATTAATGTAAAAAAGGCATGTTTGTTAGAGAAGCTTGACCCTGGGTATACGGTATCTCCTAGTTGGGCATTCCCGATTAGAGCACACTTGTTTTTTTTTTAAATTATTAAGTATTATATAAAATATGTATAACCAGAATGTACAACTTTGTTATGCAATGTGTAAGTACTCGATAATACTTAAGTCAAGAAAAACTATGTTTTATTTAAATAAATATGTGGTTAACTAATTTATTATAATGCAGATAAACTGAATGTATACGTTCTTTAATCCATACCAATGCGTTGAGTCGTTCTGCTCTTCTGGTTCTAGAAACAAAATTGTTTGATCAATACTTCTTTGAAAAATTGTAGAGCTGCTAGGCATAACCAAAAAAGTTGTTTACAACACAATATTCAACTTACAATATGCTACATTTTAACAAAAATTTGGCTCTTTTATCAAAATTATTATAAAATATTTGGATTTTAAATTGCATATGTATGAGTCTGTACGTAATCGGAACAGACCATGGCAAGGAGAGGAGGAGCGCAACAGTTACAGGTTGAAATTAAAACTGACGAAGAACTGGACAAATTTTTGACCCGCCCAGGATTGCTTAGTATAGCTGGTATTGAATTTTAGTTAAGCATACACCTAACTTTCTTCTTTGCAGTTTTGGAAGTCTACTCAGAGTGGTGTGGCCCATGTCTTGGAATGCTTGGTACCTTGCGTAGAGTTAAACTCGAAATGGGAGGCGATAACATGCACCTGGCAATTGTAAGTAGTTGTTTAGCAATTTAATAATTACTACTTGAAGTATATTTATAGTGCAAATCTGATACCGTGACTGCTCTAAAGCGGTTCCACAAAAAAAGTGAACCTACATGGCTTTTTGCTGTAGTAAGTTGTATTTTCTCATGTAGTTTCTTCTCTGGGTCGATTACTTTCTTTTTTTTTGTCACTTTAGAACGGCAGGGCTGTAAATATTTTCTATGGGTCAGATGCTCCAAAATTAGTATCCATTATACTAAAGGAGCTTGAAAAAACCTTACAAAATGTTTCGCGACCAACCTACGGCATTGCAGACCTTCAGCCGGTTGAAGCTGAAGCACTGAAGGTCAAAAGGGAGGCAACTGAAAAGGCTGAACGCATTGAGCATGAAAAGCAACATAAGAAAAAAATTGATTATCTGAACCATTGCACAGATGTTATAATGGAAAATTTGCCCGATATTGGTGTAACTGTTTTTGGACCACAAGTATCTCGGGATATGTTTAAAAAACTTTCAGAGCCAGCTGAACATCTCAAAATGCAATGCAAAGATCGAAAGTATATCGAAGTGTTTGCAGCAGATTTTGATATCATTAACTATGCTTGCAAGAATCCGTTGTCCCCTGACGTTATAGAGCAACTGGATGGCAAAGAATTGCTTGTGTGCTTCTGGAAAATAGACGAGTCCTCTGGGCCTATACCACATGTGCTTGCAACCTACGCGCATGAACTAACAAAGGAAAGAGTTGCCCCACCCGATGAGGAAATTAATGTACCACATCCTATTCCACCAATTATATCACCATTGAAGGTGAAATTTGAGGTGGAAGTGGAAGGTATGCGTTTGAGATCTCTGAAACATTTATGAAACGGCTTAAAACTTTTTTTTTCAGAGGGAGAAATTTGGGTTGAGGAAATTAGTTCAGAAGAAGAGGCCAGAGTAAAGGCTGCCGAAAGAAAAGCAGCTGAAAAATCAAAGTCTGTTACTCGCCTGCAAGACGAGTCTCGAAAGGATCAAGAGCCGGGGGAGGACGATGGCGAGGAAGAGGCTAGTGAAGAAGAAGAGGTAGTACAAGCTGCACAGCCAGCATTCCCCGGAATGGCATTCGATTTAGATTTAGGACTTGACGATAACGTTGCTACCGAAGAGGAGATGGAGGAAGAAGAAGAAGAACCTCCAAAGCCTATAACTCGTACAAAGCGTGTTAAGATTCCGCCCATATGGGTGGCCAATAATCGTCGCACCCATGCTGCCTTGATCTACGTGTTCTTCCGTAGCCAAACTGCCGGATTCTTACCCCCAGATCCACCACCAGAGCCACCGCATATCATAATGGCATTCGAAGCATTCAAACGGGATGATATTATGGAAGTTGTGGAAACCACTCGAGAAGATATACCTCAATATGGTTTCTTTACTAATGATACTCCAGGAGAGGCAAAACTAATAACAAACTCTATATTTAAATATGATGAGCTTCAGGAACCCACATCAACCGACAGATTCGTGCTTAAAGTTAACAAAGTACAATCTTATACGATGTTGTCTTTGGTGCAATTTGAGCCTACCTACTGTAGTAGCAATGTTAAAGCCGGTCGTTTGGATGCACTCAAATTCTTTCCAGAAGACTATAAGACGGATGATGACATACCGCCTGAAGCGGAGAAGAAGCCCAAGAAGGTAAACCATTTCATCCAGACCTTTTTGCAACAGGCAGCGTATCCGACCGTAACGTATATTTATTTTTGCTCAGCATCAACGGCCGAGTCGATGTAGACAAGTCTGTCTGTTTGTTTGTATTAACGCGTCGTTCTCAAGAAGACTTTAAATTATTAACGTAGTTCCTCCAATGCACGAGATGCAGATCGGGTTTTTGTTTTAAATGATCGATAATTTTCCCTCTTTCTACCCAATCTGCAGTCCTGTTAGTAAAGAGTGGTTTTAAGAGCTTGTGTGCTGCTCTTTTAATTCAGTTTTGTTTCCATGAAAGTCAAAATAATAGTATGAAGCGACCCTTTTTTGATACCCGCAGGTATGCTAGTTGTGTTCGTTTACCCATTACAAAAGTTAAGAGCTTCTGGTTTTGGTGGGATAAAGTTGAGGGTATATCCTAGACGGTAGACGGTATATCCGACTAAAGCACACTTATAATTATTTTTACAATCCTCTACAGAAAAAGAAAATTCAAATGGAACAAGAAGCAGAAAAGGCTGGGTCGCGTGCTCCGTCCACTGAGTTGGAGAAAGGCATTGAGTCCACCCCAGGTGAAGGTGCGACCGCGGAAGAGGCACCTAAAGGTCCAGAAGTCGAGGCGCTGCCGGGCGATACTCAAACGACCGAGGCAGGGCCGACCGAAGCTCCAGCGACCACAGATCCAGTGGCTGTACCGCCAGAGGGAGCACCTCAACCTACCGAAGGCGCCGCAGTACAGGAACCACCCAAAGAAGAAACTACTGCTGAACCAGCAGAACCACCTGCTGTGGATGCTCCGCCACCAGCTCCAGAACCGCCAACCGAACCTGCACCAGCCGAATAGTTTGTTTATATTTATCTATGTACAAAACTTTTATAACTAAATTTGTGGTAAATAGTCACTTCATTTAAAATTTGATTGTTTCTATAGGAGCCATATAATAATGTAGTCCCGGTACAAATCGCAAGGCAACTTTTTCAATTTTGCAGGGAATGGGGGAATGTATCCAGAAAGTAAAATATAGTAATATATACTAACCACACTGAATCTCAAAATTGGTGTTATCGATATTTGGAATATGTGACGACATATCGACAAAAAATTATAAACTCATTTTCCTATGTCATATACATATGTATGTAGGAGATCGACGCGCTATACATATCGACGGACATGGCTAGATTCACTCGGATATCTTTGCTGAACAAGAATACATATATGTACATACATATGCCTGCTTAGGAGATTCACAAGCATTCTAGCCTCGTCCTACACATACTTGCACAAAACCACACATACACACAGACGATGACGCTCGTGCGCAGCTTACGCAGCGGCTGCGCCGACCCCTTACTTAGCACAGCACTATGTGAAATGCTTTCTTCATTTACTTCGGTAGCTATTGTCACATCTTTAAGAAATTTTAAAAGCGCAAATATGGCATCCAATGTGGGCAAATGTCAAAGCCCAAATGTCAGATAAACCACTTCTACCGCTTTGGAATAGGATACAAAAAGCATCATATGAATCCATTGGTATGATCAACATAACTGATAAGCAAGCAGCTTTTATGCACATGCCTTTGTATGCATAACGTAAACAAAGAAAAAACACGCGGTCGCCTCGATAGATTAAAGGTTTTGCTTTCGCATTCATACACCCACACACATATGCGTGTACACAAGCCTGAATATTAGGGTGGATTAAAATGTTCATGTAAAATACAGTCGACAAGGTGTATTGTAAAAAAGGTAAAGGGCAATGGGCTTTAGCAAATAAACCATATTGTTCAATATGTTATCATGGATGGATAGGATGAGTATCTAAAGTTTTTTCGGCATTTCTGTAGAAGTTATGGCTGTTATGGTGGTATCTTGGGGGAGTTTTCTAAAATTCACAGCCGGTTAAAAATTTACTTATAGAAATTGATCCACCCTAATGCATATGGTCGCGCTCATGTGAGTGTGTATCCAAAATCGGTGAGAAACGCTTGATAAATACATGCAAGTGATGATGAAAGTGCATTTCACTACAATTTTTCTTATATGCATCGAGCAATTTACTAAGGCCATTGCCCAAGGCATGCCGATCAGTCCGTGCCCAAAGGTCTTTCAGTACAGATATGATGGTAGTGAATGGTTCGGTTTAACTGCCATACGAAATCCAGATGTACAGGCTCTACAGATTCGCGTAACGCTCTCCATGCGGGGCAAGCCAACGACGGTGGGTGTTTGAAATGTACCATACGATGTTCTTAAAATTCGATTTCTCTTTACAGAATTATCTTGGCGAAATTGAGTTGCTGACTCGTGGACAGTTTGCAAGCAATGCGCCAGTGCTTTACAAGATTCGATTTCCAAAACATAACTTTCCTCCCAAATTAGTGCTTATTTCGGCTAACAATCAAGTTATTTGTGTCGGTTCTGGCGGTATGTAAACATTATGATATACTTGATTGTGATAATAAGTTTTGTAACAATTCATATTTTTGTAGATCACAGCATTTTTATGACTCAAATTCAGCTAGAGCATACACGAAAACTTACTTTTATACCAGATAAAAAATCATCGGGTGTAATGGTGGCTCCAGGCGGTGCAGATTTCGGAATGGTAGTTGGTAAGGAGTTGCCAGCAAATAATGAGTTCGGCTCTAAGCCCCTGCCGCACATCCGGTTCAAGAAGTATGCATTTGGATTGTGGTTGGCTTTAGTACAATTGTTCTACAGTCATATGTATATATTTATATATATTTTATAATATAATATAATATAATATAATATATATATATATATCTATATATATAAATCTATATATATATATATATATATATATATATATACATATGTATACGTGTGACTCGTGTGCATTGATAAAATTGTAATTAATTAAAGTCTTAATACCTTGCAGAAAACCATTTCATTCACCTGGAGAAATCTGTGGTAAGATTAATAAAAGTCTTGGCTTTCGATTGCCTCAACAAAGGCAACGTAAAATAACGTCTAACCTTTCATCAACTTCACAAGGACGGGTCACTACCAATAATAGGTTTGGATTGAGTGCTGATCACGCTGATCAATCGCCAGTTTTTGGGTCTAATAGTGACTACGACAACGATGGTAGCGTCACTGTCCTGGATGAGATGGAAGAGGATGGGTTCGACTCAGATGTCACGTTTACTTTTGTGGATGGGCAAAATACCACGACTGGCAACAGCATGCCTTCAATAACTCGCGGTGCTTGGCCCTGGTTGGCGGCGATTTACGTAAATAATCTTACATCACTGAACTTTCAGTGCGGTGGCACGCTCATCTCTGCGCGGGTGGTTATAAGCTCAGCACACTGTTTTCAAATGTTCAACCAGCGTTACACGGCCAACGAAGTGCTTGTCTTTTTAGGCAGACACAATCTCAAGAACTGGAATGAGGATGGCTCCTTAGCAGCGCCTGTCGATGGTATATATATACACTCTGATTACAACAAACAGCTGAGTAGCTACGACGCGGACATAGCTGTCATTATTCTCAAGGATGAAGTGCGGTAACTATTCTTCCATTGCTTGTGCGCTATTAAGTAATTTGGGACGAATTTAATTATTTGGTAGTTTCAACACATTTATACAGCCAGTGTGTCTGTGGTCGGGCTCCAGCAAAACGGAATACATAGTTGGCGAGAATGGTATTGTCATTGGCTGGAGTTTCGATAGATCAAATTTAACGAAATTTTCAAAGGATTCATCGTCCACATTTGTACCTGGAGACGGTGCTGCGTCCTATGCGAGTAACAGTATACCAACAGTAGTAAGAGCACCAATAGTTTCCAATGAGGTGTGTTTTAAGGCCAATGCACACTTCCGCAGCCTTTCGTCGAACCGCACATTCTGCGCAGGGTTCTTGGTCGACATCCACAAAGATGGTGGCCGCGCTGGTGTTAGCATATATACGGGCATTTCTGGCGCTGGGCTTATGATATTAAAGAACAATCGTTGGATGTTGCGAGGGACCGTTTCCGCCGCTTTGCCCGCTGATCCCAGAGGGTCGCTGAGGAACGATTCTGCTCTCTGTTGTACTAGTCAATATGTCATCTATGCCGACGTGGCAAAGTTTATTGATTGGATTATGGCCTTTATAATATAATTTGTGGAGTTACTTTTATGTAATGTGATATGCCACCATTCAGATGCTAAATGAATTTGAAGTAAATAACTGCTGTGATAACCGTTGAATAGGTTAAGATATAATTTAAGATATGATCACGTTTCACGTGCAGGCAGATCAGAGCTACCTTAAATTTGTGGATTTGATTTTTCTTTTGTAACGGTTTTTTTTGCACCTAGCTACCTAAACAAATCTGGGCTTAACTTCTTTTAAATTGCTTTTATGGCAGACTCTGACTACAGCCCAGTTATTCTAGTACCTGGGGAAGCTAGGGCTATGTGATTTGTGAATTCGTTTACCTGGCCCTCGCTTGCAGAATGGACACTAATTGTCAGGTGTTCTTCTGTTCGTATAAAGTTGAGGCGCAATAATACATATTACATCATTATTGGTTGAGCCTTGGCTGAACATGTTGAACTTGGTATTAATATTAATCGGACTTGGTTTGGTGGCTGCTAACGATGATGGCTGCAATGAAATAGTCTGCGGCTCGGTGGTGTCCAAGTGTCTACTTACACAGAGCTGTCAGTGTAAGCTGAATGACTGTCATTGCTGCAAGGACTGCCTGAACTGCCTGGGCGAATTGTACACTGAGTGCTGTGGATGTTTGGACATGTGCCCGAAGCACAAAGATGCTCCAACCTCTTTGACGCTCCGGTCGGAGATTGGCGATGTTGACGGTGTACCCGAATTGTTTGATACACTCACTGCCGAGGACGATGATCAATGGGCAACCATTCGCATTCCCATGCGCTTAGGTGCTAAACAGCGCATTGAAGGTGAATCTAACCTTGTTAATCAGCCCAGATACAGGCCGGCTGCTATTGTCAACTGCACTGTCATTTACGTTAACTCATGCATCCGGTCGAACAAATGCAAGCAACAATGTGAAAGCATGGGAGCTAATAGCTATCGCTGGTTCCACGATGGGTGCTGCGAGTGCGTGGGTGCCCACTGTCTTAACTATGGAATTAACGAGAGCCGCTGCAGCGCCTGTCCGGATCAGGAGCTTCTTGCGACTGATACTGTAAATGCCGATGCTGAAAAGGATCTGGAGCGAATATTCGGCTTTGAAGATGATTCGCCCAATGATATGTGGGACTATGTTGAGGAAGACGACATGGAATAGATTAACCCTAATCTGACAGCGACTTTAATATTCACCCATGTACCTTAATTGTTATTAACTGAATAAACCATACCTCTGGTATACAAAATAGTTCATGAGAATGTACATACTTAATCAAAAGAATTAATAACAAGTAAGAGGTTCTAGTCGGGAGCTCCCGACTAGGGGATGCCCTGAACCTTCTTATTGCTACACCAAATGCAGCTCGCGCTACGCGCTCGTTTGCTTTAGTAGTAATATAGATAAATTAAAAAAAAAAAAGTTTCCTTGGCAGGGTTCGATCTTGCAACTGACCGCATTACTTGCTGCCGCCTCTACTCAACAGCCACGCCAGCCAAAAAAAAATGGTTTCCTCCGTAGAGATCGAACTCACAACCGACTGAACTACTTGCCGCCGCCTCTACCCAACAGCCACACCAATAGTTGACTCCTTATGAGAAAAAAACGAATTAAAATAGCAGCACAGAAAACAATCCAATCGCAATTGCAATGCTGTTGATAGAATTCGAAGAAAACGCGCATGAATGTGTGTGTACATGTATACAGAAATTGTTGGAATTTGCGCTAGTTGCCAGCCACAGCACCTTTTCTTTAATAACTTCTGTGTTTCTTAATCGGTCTTGATAAAATTTTCTATTGTACTATAAAAGGTTCGTGTATTCTCAAAATAACAATTGCATTTAAATTGTGGCTTATATTGGTGGGCAGCATAAATTGGTTTATTTACTTGATTTATAGCTTAGTTGTGGTTTTGGTAGAGGGGAGGTGGCGATACCTATAAAATGAAAGATATTTGATATATATATACTATTCTAGAAGCTAAATATCAACTTTGGTGACTCTAGCTCATATTATTTACCAAAATTGGTCAAAAAAACATCATTTCGATATCGATTTTTATTGATTACTTGGAAATGGGGCAAGTTATCGAAAATCGGAAACAAATTCATCAGCGCGGGCACTAGGAGGACCTACAGCTAAAATTTCAGTTTATAGCTCTTATAGGTTCTGAGATCCTTGAATTCATACATACATATGGACGGCCGGACGGACATGGCTAGATCGGCGCGGCTATTGATGTTGATCACGAATATATATACCTTATGGGGTCGGAGTTGCTTCCTTCTGCCTGTTACATACATTTGCATAAATATATAATACCCTTTTCCCCATTTTCAATGGGTTCAGGGTAAAAAAGGAAATGCCAACTAGCGGGTGTTCCCGGCCTTGCCCGTGACATTTTAAGTTCGACGAATAAAGAACCAACCTAAACATTTGACTCGCACTTTCCTTCCAAAAGTGGTGAATTTTCCATACAACGTATCAAGAAAATTCTCTCAAATATCTTTGATAATTAGTTTGAATCCGATCCAATAGAAAATAAAAGGATGAATATTTTCTGACATATTTCCAAAGGTGCGAGTCGCATTTCGTATGCTAGAAAATAAGTTTGAGACCGATAGGATAAACAAAATAATTTCAAATTAACCATCGATAAGCAGTTTCGCGAAATGTCCCAATTCAATTTGCTTAAAGTGTTTAGAGAAGAAAGTTCGCCCATTCAACCTTTGATCCGCATTTATCATCCACTAAGGGCAGATTGTGTTTTGTTGATCTTTGAAAATTATTTTAAAGCCAATCGGATACAAGAAATTTTCATACAATCGTTTTTCGTCAATTTAGCACAGTTGCGGGTGGACTTTCCTAAATGGACCATACATGTATTTATTAAGTTCGGATGAAATTTAGAACTTACTACCATTGTCCGCGCAAAAGTGATGGAATATACGAATAATGTAAAACACGTGTCAAATACATATTTCATGATCTTTGCATCCGAAACATTGTTCATTCAACACTGGAATATGCAAAAAGTGTGAAACACGTAACAAATAAATGTTCACAAAGATCTTCGAAAATGGCGAACAAGCTGAGTTCCAATATCGATTAAATACGCATTCCTTAAGTTCTTATGTTGGTCTTTAATTAGGCGATTCGACGAAATTTAAAACTCCGCATAAACACATTTTTGATCCGAAGTTTCCACCGAGGAAGCATTCTGCGTAAAGTGTAAAACACTATTTTTTTTATTTCGATTTCTACAAGTTCGATTTCGTTATTAAGTGAGCCAAATCTATCAAACATTATCGGGTAACTAAAGAATGATTTCTATTACAATTCATAATTTGAGGTTAAATTAAGATTTATTGTGCTCATTTTCAGTAAGGCTTCTTTTCATCAACTAAGGCATACATGAAATACAAATATTAAGTTAAGCTCACCCGTTGTTCCGGCTAAATTTAATTAGAACTCTTATGTATATTACGCTCTGCGCACAATTTGAATAAGTATTTTGAGGCTTGTTAATTGCAAACAGCGCCTTGCACTTAATGCGCATATGCTGGCTGCTATCGAGCACGTCATCATCTGCTATCGCTGTCATCATCAAATCAGCTACGGATGTACATGCGCAAATCTGTCATCTAACTAGCTTAGGCACAATGCCTTCCAATACCTGGTGAACGGATAGCATATCAGTTGTGGCCGAACGGTGCCAGCGAGTGCATCCCAGTCGCTGTTCGGAGTCGTTTGCGGGTCTTTGCCCGTGGTTTGCGTGAATACAGATCGTTAATCTTGCATGTGTTAATATTGTCATGGAGATTCTTTGTCCCTTGTTACTACTCGGGGCTTCGGTTTTAAATAAACGATTTGATCTCTAAAAAGAGCTCGAATTTATAAACCGTAAAGTCTGTCACTTTCATCGTGTAAAGCGTAATTAGCAGACGAGTGGTGTTTTTTTTTATTATCAGGATGCTGGGCGGAGTGGGAGCTCGACGCGGAAGGGTCTCATCTCCGATGGGACGCTTAACAAATGCAAACGTCTTTAGTCTAGATGACAACATTGCCATAATTGGAGATGGCGTCATCAGAGGCAGCACACCTCCTGGTCGGCAGCTGTTCAAACAGCGTAGACGACCCGCCACAGACAGTAGTCATGAGAATATTGCGCCATTTCAAAATCGTCTCAACTTGAGTGACATTATGTAAGTATAATTAAGTAGATATGTTGGCTGGTATAACCCAGCTTTGTTAGAGCCAAGGTTAGACTCATTTCCTGTCCGTGTAAAACTTACATTTATTTTATCCTACTACCTTGATTAAATCCCACGCCTTAAAGTACATATAATACAGATATTAGATAGGTGCGAAACATGTCATTTATAAATATTAAGCTGATCCGAATGAATAATATAATGGTTTTATCCAACAATGTTTAACGAGCATTATTAATTTTTTTTTTAAAATACGACTGAAAGCATTCGGACGCTTCTTGAACTTTCGCCCGAAATCCCATTTCCCCTCCAGGGAGTTGGGCTTTCCGAAAGATGGATCTTTGTAATGAGTTTGAAGCCAAAATGTTTCATAAACCGTCTTTTCATAATTTTTCACAGTTGTGGATGGATTTCCCCAAAGCCCCGTCTTGGTTGCACTGACACCATCCACAGTAGCTTCCTAGATTTTAAGGCTTATGTCAAAGAGCGCGCGATAAGCGATGCGACGAGAAAAGCGATATTTCGTGCTATGACAAATGCGACAAGTCGACTGAGTGAAAGGTTTAAGCTAATCAATTTTTCAGTCGTTTTTAGTTAATTATTCTTAGTCGTAGTTTGAGGGCAATGCATTCAAATGAAGAATGTTATGGTTTAAATGCATCATTTACATTAGTGGTCGACAGTAAAAGGAGCTCACCCACTCAACCAAAATCGAGCAGAAAGAGGAGAATTTTATAATTTATTTGAAGATCTAAGAAGCATCCGTTAATTTTTTACAATCCTTACTTTCGACTATATATTTAATACAATAAGTAGAATGTTGCACAAATGTTGTAATTCATCATATTGTTATATTTACAACTGAAAGAGAATGCAAGTCGTATACAAAGTAGGTAAAAACAGACGTAATGTTTGCCCAGAATGCAATAAAATATGTGTTTGGGCTGTCATTGATCAGTCACTAGGATATGTAGTTCTGTATATATGTACATGTGTATGCATACATAGATAGATTTAAAAATGTAGACATAGATATGTATAAGCTTGCTATGTGAACAAAAATATGTGATTTACAATTTTTTGAAATTTATTTGACTTGATTTGAGCATCGGACTCCTCCACGGCATAATTGTAGTTTAATACCGTTTTGCAGCCCCGCCAGAAACATTGTAGTTCAAATGATATGTTACCAGATGGCGCAATAACATAAGCAGCCCTGTCTGTAAGCTGGTAAACAAATCGATAAGCGAGTAGAAAGCATAATTGCTTTCCAACTGGCAAGTCGTGCAGTGTATGTAGAGCCCAGAAATTGTGCCCATGCGATGGGGGATGAAAGCATCATACGAAAGCTTAAAGCTTTATTCAATGCCATATGTGCGATAGAATCAACACTATCGAGCATCTGTGTCAGATGGAAAGAACGCATGGCTATATCAACGGGCCTACGTTCGCTTATATACACATCTCTTTTATTCCTACGTCCCAACGAAGACAACGTCTTGGTTACATCAAGTGATGTGCAGCTTATTCGCAGCGGCAGTACCTGCAAGTGTTCAGTTTGAGCTTTTGTGTTCGATCCAAAGCGCAGGACTGTTTGGTTAGCTGGTTGTGCGTGTAGTTGTAGTGTGTAATGTGTAAAGTGTAATACAAAGTCTTCATCGACTTGCGTTTGTTAAGTTTTTCGTCCAACTGGTGAGATTGTCGGTAACTAGTCGAACATAGCGGTTTTTGTTTTTTATTTTTGCAAGCGACAATCGAATCTAGAAAACATACGCTGTTCATTTGTAGTGCGAAAAAAAAAAACAAAAATTTTGCCATTTATCTTAACTGGGGCTGAACACTCGACTTTTCGTGGTGGCATATAGCTAAAAATCGGGTCGAGTGGTGAATATAAAGATAGAAAAGTTTAACTGATTAATTGCGAAATTGTTTGTGTGGAAGCCAAGGAATACATTCGAAGTGAAACCACCGAAAAGTGAATTAAAAAACCGTACATAAATAATATTTGCTCGCCGCCCATAAAGCAGCCCACAACCGCATTCACAGCCACTGCAGCTGCAATACGCTAGGAGACATCTTCAACATGTTTGTCGCGCTTCGTTGGTGTCGCAAGTGGTTGTAATTGTTGAGTTCTCGCTTACATTTCTAGTTAAATAGCCTCAATATACGCATTTATCACACATACATATAAACGTATGTATGTACAGACGATTCATACATACATATGTACATACACAATGTACACCTACTTACAAATGCGGCTGCGAATGCGACAGTATGTGCGCGCACTGCTATATGTGTGTGTGTGTATATAACTTGGGTTTGGGATTGGGTCAGCGGGTTGGTAGCACAACGGGTGGAATGTTGCGTGGGTGGGGACGGCGTCAGAGCAAGCGTCAGCGACAGTTTTGACAGCGCCAAGTGAATTTTGGTTTCGGTTACAGCGGTTTTCGAGTTGTGACGTGTATGCGACGGGAGGTGAATGAATTGCAGCAGCACTTTATAAAACAATGCCAAATTATTTTAAATTATTTCTATAATAAACATATTAATTGGAAATGTATGTAAGAGTGTCTGTTATATGATTTCATCGTATCAACATATATTTGTAAAAATACATTTGTATATTCGTACAGATACACTTACATATGTATGTCAATATGTTAACAAGACCAATGTATAAAAGCTGTGGCTTTGGGGCTTAATGCCCCCGGCAATGAAAATTATGTTGTATGTGCTAATGGGATTTTTATATACAAATATACCTACGTACTTATGTCCATTTGGATGTTACGCCAACATGTATTTTTACGTACATAATTTCGGCTGTGCTCAACTATTTACACATACAGTGAACGCTCGATAATAAGAAAGCTCGATATTAGAAAATATCGGTTATAACAAACACCAGTGCAAAATCATTGTCCGGCCGAAATTATAATTGATAATTTCTAGTTTTTGGGAGTGTTTATTTTTTGTATAATTTTTGTAGTATTAATATATAATACTGTTGGTTCAGCTGGCTCAAAGTACAGGTACAATGCAAAATTTAGTTAGTTTTGCGTAAATAAATCAATAACACACGCTCGGCAGCTTACGGTCGTTCAAATTAACAAATTTTGTAGAATCTCACAGCAGTTGACGACGCTTATTTAATCAGTTAACATAGAACATATACATAGATGGAACAGCTTGTAAAAAAAATATTAGCCACTCGTGCGCTCAATGCAGTCTCATTGATTTCTATAGATCCTTGAGATGAACGTGTATGTACATTAAAACGATCTAGAGACATTAATGAGAGGGCACTGAGAGTAAGCAAATACAATGTTCTGTAGTGGGGGTGAAACAAATGTGAGCCATGCCGCTCTGTCAGTAACTCTCTTGCTCTCTGAAATTGTGAGAAAAAAGAAGTCTATGTAGAGGTCCTACACGGTCCTACGGCAAAGAAAACGTGTCACTACGTTTTTGGTAAGAGCTATCCCATCTATATGTTCTATGGTAAATGATATAAGCGAGCAAGAGAATCATTAAACGTTTCTAGTAATTATTGTACCTGAATAAAATTTATTCCCAAAGCAAACGACTTGCATAGGGTTGTAGTGCTAGTACTTACCTACGTACGTGTCTAAATACGTTTAAACTAATTAATAAGGTTGTGTGGCTAAAATACAAAATGTTTTGTTGAAAGGTCGAATAAAAGCAGAACGCGAAAGCCAATTGGCACTGCTACGTCTTTACATGCCTTAATGTATTCATGTATGTATGATGGCATGTGTGCACACTATTCACATGCACATACATATGCAGGAACAGTTGTTTGTTTTTATTCTTTATAGGCTTAAGTTGTCTGCTTTTGGTTTTTCTTTACAACTATATTTTCTCCATTGCCATCCAAATTCCAGAGAGAATGAACCCAAAAACAAATTAAAGAATGACGTCACTAAATTACTTTTAGTATGTATTGTTTATACCAAAGCAAAACAAATGCCTACTTAGTACATTGTACATATGGATAATTCCAAAGACCCGATTCATGCACGACTTAAATATACAAAAAAAAAACACACACACACACACGCAAAGACATCAAAAACAAACCAACCAAAAGGTTTGGTCTCATTTATGGACAGAACTTACCTATAAATAATTTTCGTGTTAACTAAATGTGGAGCCGTCAGAGTACGGCAAGGTATTAACGTACAGAAAATGGCAGGATTTAAAAACGATTTCGTCTGCATCAATAAAACTGCTAAAGTTACCTCAAGTGCTTTTGCCTTACGTGTGTTTTAAAGTGTTATTATGACAAAATATGCTGCACATTATAATCATATGTATCTAACTAACTTAAAGTAACAATATTCTGTTCTGTTCTGCGACTTTATAGATGCATACGAAAACCACTTTTATTTTTGACAGCTACAATACATACATACAATAGAGAATACGTTGAAGAACATGGGATATTATGTTACAAGTAGTCAATAATGTGCTTGTAATAAATCATAATGTATAAACATTTTGCGAATGGAATACATACATATATGTATGTATTAGCCATATGCAAATTCACTAAATTATAGGATTTATCTTTATCCGAAGAAAATATTTGCAGGCAGAGCTACTATCCGGCTGCCCATATTCAGCGCAGTAAGAAACTTTTATTTAACGTTTCACATTTCACCACAGCGTGTTGAACTTTTCATGACCACACTTACGTACGTCGGAATGTATGTAAGTGCCGAGCGTTTCATCCCCTAACTTTTCATTCATATCGTGTTCCAGTAATAAAATGATATACTGACATTTGAAGCTACCTACATTCATATCTACATTCACCTAAAAATACGTCTAAAATAGAATAAGTAAACATTTGATATGTTTATAATAAATTTATGAAATCTACTAATATCTAACTAGTATGTGACATGTGTATACTCGCATTTGTACATGTGTATGAAAATACATTCATATGTATGCATTCATACAAACATACAAGTGCATTTTTGGTGTGTATTTCGATAGGTCATGAACTGAATTGACCCGAACAAAAACAAAGTCACTCTCATAAGCTATTCCTCGCGAAATTCTCATTGAAAAGTGCTTAACAACAAATGAATAAATAGTTATATAAATAAAATCATAAAATTCTTTATACATACACATTAATATATGTGCAAATATAAACAAATGTGATAAAACCAGTACCCTAAACTAAAACTAAACTTCAGCATCTTTGAATGAAAAAAATGTGAACGTGTAAATACAAAGTGATAAAACTACATGGCTCAATTCATAAAATATATCATAAAATCGTGTACGGCAAATTCTCTATAGAACATTAAAACAGTTCCACCTCATCTAAAAATATATATGTAAATGTATTTTGTGTTTGAAAAAATAGCATTTTGTGCAATAATAAAATATTAGAAACAAATACCATATACCAAAATAAAAGACAAAGCAATAGGCGCTGTAATAAAAAAAATAAATAAAAATAAAAACAAAATCTTAAAGAAATTGTGACCGAAAAATAACGAGTGGAATCCGCCTTGCTATTCTTAGTCCTCGGGCATAATATATCGGAAACCCGGCCACTGCGAAATATAGAGCGGCCTTTGGCTTCCAAGCTAAATGTCCGGTTGCCACTCTTGTGCCATGCGGACCGCGTGTCACTCCCGACAAATGCGTATTGTGGTTCATCTTGTGTAATATAATTATGGCCGAGTGGTCGTTACGAAAGTATCAAAAATTGGATATAGTGACGGTATGTTTATCGCCCATAGCAGTAGAGCTAACTTAGTTAATTTAATCTTAGTGATGTGTTGCTAAGTGTCTGCTAAGTCTACAGACACTATGCATATTATTTAGTATTATGTAGCTACAAGTCAGTTTGCACAGTGTTCGTTTCGAATCTATCGAAAGGATATGCATGCCTATTGTTTTTTAACTTTTTTGTTTTTTTTTTATATTAGCATTGTGCAACTTATTGAACAGAACAAACATGCTCATATGTCGTTATAATGACTTCTATCTTCTAACTTAGGTTGGAAGCAGCTCAGGAAGCAGTGCTAGCAGGGCATCAACAGGACTCCTTAGGCGGGGGGCACTTGGGTCGAAAGGGAGCCCATCGCTTAGCTGATAGAATGGGTGGCCCGAAAAAAGAGGAAAACCCACCAGGTGGTGGTCCAACGTCATTGTTTATCCTAACCGAGGATAACCCAATTAGAAAGTACACACGATTCATCATTGAATGGCCGCCCTTTGAGTACGCTGTGTTATTGACAATCATAGCCAACTGTGTTGTGTTGGCACTAGAAGAGCACTTGCCAGAAGGCGACAAGACAGTATTGGCTCAAAAATTGGTAAGAATATAAAACCTTGTTTTTCAGTTCTGAATAGTTATGAATATTAATTTATAATGAAAATAATAACATTTATGTTGTGTACTGCAAACACACTATCGACATTTTATTCAGTCAATTAACTAATACTAATGTTATCAACCAATTACTTTTGAGGGTTGCTCTTTATATTTTGCGTCTAATATCGAAAAAACTTTAATAAAAAATAAAATATTCATTATAAAAATCAATACTCTTGCATGAGTTTCAATTAATTTTAAAAGCACCTTGCCACTAGAATCCAACAAATTTTTTGGGAATATATAAAAAATGTGGGTTCTACGACAAAGAAATTTTCTTGACTGTCATTTATCCTTTCAATATCGAAGGTATGTTTGACCGGCTAATATCTAATCATTTCTTAGTATTAATAATAGCAATTCACTCACAGCACATAAAAAGTTTTTGGACGACCTACACGAAACACCCAAGTTGATCGTTTCCTCGATGCAACTTTTCAAGACCTAGCAACAACTATTACATTCCAGACCTATTATTTCAGACCCTTGACTATTGATCTGTGGCAAATCTGCAACACTGAAAATGCAAAATTACACGATAAATACTCGATTAATACAATCGATATTTCGGTATCATTTAGTGCTAAAGTGATGACAACAGCTGTTAAAAGCATCAATAAAGTAAACTAATAGCCTTTCTCCACTGGGCTTTAAAATGTCACATTTTCAAGTTTCACATATTGGTGTTCCACCGGTTTTCGGTAACAATTGAGTGGCAAAGGTACCACTTATTTACAAAACAGCTGATCGAGTTGCATTAATTTAAAAGTCAAATAATACGGCCCCGAAGTAGGTGCTCCGTTTAATTGACTCTTTGCGGGATTTGGCCAACTTTAAATGTTAAAAACTATTGGATTACTAAAATTTAAAGTTATTATTTAAAGTTACCTTCGTTGCAATATCAGCTGGTTTATGTTCACATTTTTCACAACATCGATAGAAAACTCGATAAATCATCGCAAAAAACACGAACTGTTCGGGGCGAATTTACATATTTTTAAAAAATGTGATATTTTTGAAAAATGTGTGAAATGTGTTTTCTTATGGGAAAGCGTACAGGCCGCATTTTACACATTTTGCAAAAATGTGACATTTTCAAGAAATGTGTTCAGTGGACAGAGGCTATAAGTGCGTAACAAATACTACACACTTCCTCAACATGTTGACTATTAGAAATAGTTGAGATCATCCGCCAAGAGGGTATCTTTAACGCATTTAAATTGCATCTTTCTTAAGCTAGCAAATCAGCAATAACTGAAATCAAATAAACCAAAATGTTATCAGAACGGCTGCGAACAGGTATAAACCATCATTGTGCAGAGTTGGAACGTTGAAGGCTGTTCGCACTTCAAAGCAAACCGAATAGTTCAACTACTATTGAGATTTGGATTTTTTGACCAGCTGCCAGTCTACCCGAATAGGGTAGATAGACAATTTCCGCGAAAGCACAAACGAAAGAAAAAGTAAAAACTATTTTTCCAAGTCCCTTAAAAAAAATAATTTGCCTGCGACGTTGTCCACGATCGTTTTGATTAGGCCGGTAATATTCCTGTTCACCCCTCCTTCGTATAACGATCAATTTTTTCTTTTAACAAAGTAATAATGAAATATAAACAAATACAAATATACATATGTATATAAGAGAAACTACCCGTCGTCGCCGGGGTCTAAATAATGCTAAAACACCTTAATAGCCACCACTTATGTACGCATTCGCCATTCTCTCCAACCCCAATTTATTACCAATTTATTACAAGTGAAATTGTAAACATTAAAACTGCAATTTTCACTGAGATCTTACCATGGGCTTTCGTATCAGGCGGACCGAAAACATTCAATGCTCCCTTTTTCCATGTTGCGGCCCGATCGTCACACTAAGTAAACGCTAGCTCATATCCCAGAGGTCATAGATACATACGGACATTGCTAGATCGACTCGGCAGTTGGTGCCGAGCAAGAATAAATATACTTTTTGCCTGATTTAGTTGAGTCAGTCAGTCAATGCGATCTCTATTATGTATGTTGACGTTTTAGCTGGAATTTGTATATTTTCAACTCCTTTTCTATCTCCATCATCTTTGACACTGGATAATGATCTCCATCTTTATCTCCTTTTTATGCTCCATCTCTATTTCGTTTTGCCCCTTCTTAGCTGCCATTTCGGGCTCCGATATGTATTTTTCTTTCTCCAAATCAGCCATGCCGGTTTCCCTGCCATATTTAATTTATTTTTATCAAGCACTCTTCATACCAGATCCGTCAGCCTTGCGGCTAGGTCAACCTGTTTGGTGGTCACTATCCCCAGCAAAACGAGTACTTCTAACTTCTTCCACCTTAGGCCTCATTAAATAATTTCATTAACTAATGTCGAAATGTAGAAGACATTCTCCATATTGAAATCACAATAGAATGTTAACAAACACCAAGCTTGGCCGTGTCATTTTCTACACAGAAAGGTCTTAGTATAAAACAAAACGAAATCAAATCTAAATCCGCCCAAGAGATGATTTCACTAAATCTATTACTGTGATCCTAATTTCCTTAATTTTTCTGGGCATGCTGAATATTTTGTATGGGACAGTTGTGAGCATGGCATACCTTTAAATATTTTAGAAGTTATATTTTTTCTAAGCCTTTTTTTAAGCTCATATTTTAACCGATTTTATTGGTCGATACGTTTAGCAATGATTCGTTAATATGTAAGCAGAATAATAAAACTAAGAATGAGCCAAACATAACTTATTTTTAGATATGCTTACTGTGCGCTAGGAGAATAATCGATTTTTTGCCATTTTGGCTTGATTTGTGATTTCTGTTTGAGCAAGCAATATATTGATTGAGGCGTATTTAATTTAAACTCTTTTAATATTCAAACATAACATATTTAATAACTTACCAACTATAGCTTAAGAGTATACTATTACATGCATTTCTCGTAGGCTAAGTTTTACGCTACAGTTATAGTGAGCATACCATTAAAAAGCCTCAACGAATAAAAACATAATTAAAAAAACTACTGACAACTAACGAGCTCTTGTCGGGAATGCCCGACTAAGAGGTACCCATAACACCCTAAAAAGCCCCTCAGCCCTTAACACTCACTTTACCTTTCTTCTATATTTGCATACATATATACACAAAAACACAGATGCACACCCAAGTCCGCCGTTTGCCACATATAGTTGGATCTTTATGAAATGTGTAGTACATAAACTTCATATGCAAGAAATGAAATATTCTTGATTTGTGTGTACTTTACGAGAGTCTAAATATTAATTTTGGTGTTTCTAGCTCTTAATAATTCCGAGATATGCTATTTAAAAAGGTTCCGATACCAGATATGACATGGAAACAAGGCAAATTATCGATAATTTGCAACAATCTTGATATGCGCGGACAATAATTTCCAATTTCGATGATTGACGCGTTCATACATACGGAAAGACGAACAGACGGACGAATAGGTTGCTATGCAACTCCACGCCGAGTATGGATCCACCCAAAATGGGTATAAAAGAAAGACGTTACACCCCTTCGCATCCAAAAGTACCAGGACGGAACAAAGCTCTGCAGGATACCATGTTGCCAGTTACACTTTTGCTGTGTTGTTTGTAGTCGTGTCTACATCCCAATTTCGTCCAACAAGAAACAAAGAATGGGTTGTCCGTTTGATTAACTGCAATTGGGAATCGTCTCACTAAATTAAGCTTCCTTGGTATACCTCACTGCTTGTCAAAAGACCATTAGCATCATCATTAAGGTTGCCCAATAAAGTCTAGACTCAGGGGTACCAACTAGAGGCTGCTGGCGTGACTTATTGTGACCTCGAGCTGACTTGCACGATTATGCCAGTTGCGCTTGCCCTTCTATATCGGATAGTCGCACATAACTGGATCAAAACGTTGATGCTGATCAATAATATACATACATATATACTTTATGGGGTCTTAGCTGCCTTCTTTTGCCTGTAACAGGTTCAGGGCATAAAAACATTATTATAGAACTAAAATAAACAACATTATATTGTACTAAAAAAATAAGTTTTCACAAATGGCGCATAAGATACAGATCCCTTACAAACTGTTTAATATTAAAATGACTAAAAAAATGTTGTTTTTTTTTAAGTTTAATTGCTCATGCATCGAACGGCGATTAAAATTGTTGTGCTGCTTCACCATAAGTCGCAAACTTTCTGGTCCTGACAATACTTTTCCAAAATACTCTTCTAAATCATCATTTTGACGAGCTTATTTCTTTAAGGACTGAGATGAATACTAAATAATATAACGAGAAAGAAGGGCTGTCTTCGGCACGCCGAAGATTTAATACCCTTGCAGACCCAACCTTTTCATAATGCTCATAGTGCTTTGCCCGTATCTAAGGAGCACACGGAAAATAGTTAATGCCGAGTATGGTTAAGATATCTTGAAAAACAAAAAGGTTTTTATACATACAACTTAATTTTATACCGATCTTTCCTGTGGAAGCTATATGATATAGTAGCCCGATGTAAATAAGATTTTGCACAAATGTAGGGACCATAGCGAAACTTATAAATGCCGAGTGTGGTCAAGCTATCTTGTAAAAACAAAATTTTTTTCCATACAACAACTTTATTTTCGGCCGATCTTTCCTATGGCAGCTATATGATATAGTGGTCCGAAGTTCTTAGGATTTTGCATATATATGAGGAGCATAGTAAAACTAATAAATGCCGAGCTTGGTAAAGATATCTTGATAAACAAAAAAGGTTTTTATACAAGAACCTATTTTTCGACCGATCGTTCCTATGGCAGCTATATGATAAAGTGGTCCGATCCAGCGGGTTCCGACATATGTACTGCGTCCAACAGAAAGAGGGCAACTGAGAGGCAAGTTCGCATGGAAACAGACAGACGGACATGGCTATATCGACTCGGCTGTTGATACTGATCAAGAATATATGTACTTTGCTATGCGTTACACATTTCACGACAAAATTATAATACCCTCTGCAAGGGTATGAAAATGCTGAGACGCACAATATAAAAAGTAACCGTCGAATTAGTATTATGAAATTCTTATGCAATTTTTTCAATTCTCTAGGAAAAAACGGAGGCCTATTTTTTATGCATTTTCTGTGTAGAAGCATCGCTCAAGATCCTTGCCTTAGGGCTTGTTCTGCATAAACACTCCTATCTCAGGAATATTTGGAACATCATGGATTTTTTCGTTGTAGTGACGGGGTAAATATGTACTTTATTTGTAAACCCACTTTTATGTACCTAAATATTGTTTTTTTTTGGCAAATATGCCGCACATCCGCAATTTTTTAAAATTATGGTTTCAAGTGTATTTCTTTTGTTGCTCAATATTAATTTAAAGTTATATTGACCTGCATTTTATGAAACATGGATAACAACAGGGATCAATTCGAAACTTTTAACGATTGCGGGTTTATTGATTAACAGGTTTTCTTGAGTTTTCACTTCTTTGGCTATAATTCATCCATCTTCCGACTTACATTTTAGCTTTTTAAAGTACTGGTAATAACTGTTGAAATGCAAATCGGAAAGAAAAAGCCCTATAAAAACCAATTAGTTAAAGTTGTGTTAGGATTCTAGAAGCATGTAGGCAATGAATGTAATTTAATCCACATGTGGATCGCCTGTGTGGGGCCGAAGGTAAGAAACGGGTTTCCGTATTGGCTATTAAAATACAAGAAATCATGACACAATTTTTTTTGTTATGTCTGTGTCACATTAACAAGCAACACAACAGATGCAGAACTTAAGTTTAAGAAAAATACCAAGCTAATGATATATTTGTGAGACATAAGGTTGTCCATTTGGTTGTTGTATTTAAGTCACTTATAAAATGCCGTTTGAAGGCACGTTAATTTGTTTGTAATTTACATATGTACATACCGACTTTTATATGGCAATTCCAATGCCGAACAGTGCCATGACGATATTCGCCGAGGCCAATATAGATGTTGACCTACGCATGTTGCGGTCTTTTCGTGTATTACGCCCGCTGAAGCTTGTATCCCGAATTCCAAGTAAGACAACGTAGCTGAAGACATCATTTTTTATTTTAGGAGTCCCTAGGCCAGATAACTTATATGTCATTTACTTCAATAATTATATACATTATTTTAGAGTAATAGATAATATAGGAGCTAGCTTTATTTAACGCATATTAGTGCCTAGGAGCATTTATAGATATAAGAAGCTCCAAAGCTTCATTGTACTTAAACATAAGTATATATAATTATACATATATGTGTTTCAGCGATTTATTGCTTAGATACAAATATTATTTCTGTGTAAGTAACCTAAATGGTTCTAAGTAATTTATTCACATCTTCGAGAGGCCCTGATATTATGATACCCTTATACCCAATGCTATTTATGAAATATTTTTCAAACATAAAGTGAGTAATTTGTAATACTTCTCAATTGACTTTATAAACCAACTATTTGCAAAAAAAAATGTTTTGCAAGTAATTAAATTTATGTTTATACGCAATTTTCAATCGAGAGTTTATTGTAGCCATATTAGCTGTAATTTTGCGCAGTACAATTTATTTTTAACACAAATGTGTATTTTTTAGTAGGAGCGTTGAAAACTGTTTAAATGATAATTAATAAATATATTAACAGCTCGATTAACACTATTTGCAATATTTCTCACTGTTCGTGACTTGTTTTCGAAACACAGGTTGTTGTAAATAAAATGTTTATTGTCAAAAGTTAAGATTGGCAACTGGTGTTTTCAAATATGATGTGTGCCTGAATATACAAGCAAAAGCTTTAGGAGTATCGATATATAAGCTATACCCCTTTTTCGTATTTTCAAAAAAATAAATCAGTAGGAACTTTCGTTGATATCTGGTATTTAGCATAATGAAACATTGGTTTATTCGTACATTTATAGCTAGTTTTGTGAATCAAAAGAATAAACTCAAGAACCAGAGAAGTTAAATGTAATAATAACTTATTTGCTAATTAATTTTAATAATAACAAATTCGTAATATAATGTAGTTCTTTGCATATTTAAATGCTCAATAATTTATAGTACGACTTTATTCATTTTCATTTGATGACATCGCAGACAGAAACTTTAGTGTTTTTCTGACTAAACTGGAAGATAAAGACTATAATTATTTTTAACTAACTTGTTAGAAAATCTTTTATTAGTATATATTCATAAAATTCCAACGCAAAGTTTCGTGACTATATCTTTATAATAACTATATCATTAGCGGAATGAAACACAAGCAATGTACTTATTACGTATATATCAATTATTATATTACAAATAATTCTGTGTTTATTCAATTTTCTAATTAGGACGTAGACTACTAGTCTGTTTTGTTTAAAGGATGAACAAATATATTAACTCCGTAATGCACACCATATACGATTATAATAACAAACAAGTAAAAGTGCTCTTGTCGGGAGTGTCCGACTGGGAGATACCCTGAACCCAGCGTTTAACCGTTTTTGCTGTTCGATCATAAATTTAGAATGCATAAGTATGGCATCAAAACGTGTGTAATTAACAAAGCCCAGAATTAAAGCTAAAAAATAGATTTTTCCAATTGACAACATATACTTTTAAAGGCTCTAAGATATTCTCAACAGGATTTCGATGTCAATAATCGATTTCATGGGAACGGGGCAAGTTTTCGATGATTTCAAATAAACCCGATCTGAGTGGGCAGAGTCAAATCTCCAGCTCTAATCATTTCTGATGGACAGATTGACGGATGAACATGTTTAGATCGGTTGTTGATGTTCAGGGTATAAAATGATATATCAGGCAGCATACCAACAATTGTCCTAAGATAATATAATATATTACAATAACATATAAGGACACCTACAACCTACAATTTAGCAAAAAAGGAATCCTTTTTAATAATATACCTATTATTATGTTGTTTTTTTTTTTTAAATAAGTGGGGCCTTATCAATTACACAAAATTTAGAAAAGTTACTAAAATTATTCGTTTTAGAATTTATGACCTCTTGCATAGATATTAAGCGAACGTTGCTTTCTCAAAACAATTTCAAAGCAAGTAACAACATCGTAAAATCGCTTTAAGCTTTTTCTTTTACATATCTCGATTTTTTACTTGAAAACTATTATAGCTGTGATTTCAAAAACATAAGTTTCGAAAGATGAATTAAAAATTTTCTCAAGTGTATACAATAGATGATAATAAGATTCTTACCTAATAGTGGGATTCATGAAACTGATTTAGATTTATTGAAAGCAAATCTGAACCATTTGATGGAAAGATTCTTTTGCTTACTGATCTGATTTCGATTTCGTGAAAAGCTGGCAGCTTGCCCGAACAGCTGATTGTCAATTGGCGTGAAAGTAAACAAAAAAAGCACACAATTCCGAAAAAAAATGGTGTACACAAGTGTATTTACTATGTTTCAGTTGCAATTGTAACATTTTTAGCTCCTTCGTCTCCATTTTCTTTAAATTCTTTGTATGCAGTTTGAAAAGCAGAAAACAGGCAACGTTCTCCATATTGAAATCACAAACACAAGCTTGGCCGCGTAATTTTCTTCGAAGAATACTAATTTTTCCATACATTTCTACACATTTTATATCGAGCAGCTGTGAACAGCTGATTCAACGCCAAATTCTGCATCATTTTCCCGAAAATTTCGATTTGACTCTTGACCCCTTTTTTTTCGATGGTACACTGGCCTTTTTACAGTTGAATCGTTTTATGTTCGTTTTGGGTTAAGCAAAGCCATTTTAAAATCTTCTTAGTGTATCAAATAAAGGTGCAAGTGCATTTTTTAAAATAATCAAAGCCAAATCACATCGTTTTGTAGTGTTTCATTTTTACTTGAAGCTGGATTTTCAAATTCCTACACGAGAAAAGTAATTTACGTACCTCGTGTTACCATACAATTAGATCTGAATAAAATTATATAATAGCAAACAATTTTTAATACATTTGGATTATAGATACATTTGTGTAGCCAAAGCCAAAGAGTTGGCTGCATTTGACCGATATTCTCACTGCCACACAGCCGCGGCGAATTTGTTTTTGTTATGAACCTTAATTTGATATGGTTTAATATGCGAGAAACTCTGCAAGCAGACGCGCTTATGTTTGGTCAACTAAAGACTTATAAACATTTAAAGCAATGTGCTACCTATTAAGGAAATATAGAATACAATTTTTTTTTTAATAGAAATTAATGATCGTGGATCTCTGGTTTCATTAGACTTTAGCTACAAAAGTATTATGTAAAATAAAAAAAAAAAAAAATAAAAAAAAGGATTATTAAATAAAAAAAAAATGAAGAAGTTGTTAGGAAATTTATTTTGGCACAATTTTGCTTATGACAATCTTCAAGTAACGGATTTCAATATCGACATATTCGATTCGTAGAAACGGGGCAAGCTATAGATGTTTTGATAGAATCTCAACCAAGTCTGTATCGCTTATAGTTTATTGGGATCGACACGGCTGTTGATGCTAATCAAATATATATATACATATATACCTTGTACTACTAAATCATTATATTCCTATTACCTATTTTCATATGGGATATGGATAAATATGTACATATGTACATATTATAACACTTTTCACACTATAATTCGGTTTTCGACCTACTTGTCCAGGCGCAGGGTTACGTTTACATAGTAAATACATCTAAAAGTACATTTACATACATAAGAAATAAATTTGTTTGTCAGATTTCTACAACTTATCACTCAACTAGTTTTTAATAAAGTCGTCAAAAATAAGACATGTCTATATGAAAATACTTGATTTACATTTAAATTAAGTTTTAAAATAGGAATTAAAATTAATGATTGTAGTTGTTAAATGCATTATTAGGCAATGGTTTACCATATAAGTACAAAAGTTATCGCTTGGTGATCCCTTGCTGTGTACGAAATATATAAACTAATTGTGCGTTATACGTCCCCTATATATTTAGTTCTTTTTTTTATTTTACAACTTCTTATTTGTCAAGTATTATCTCTAATTTAATTTAAATTAATACTATTTACTTGCCATCTAGATGATATGTCTAAAATTTTTATGTTCATAAGTTTTAGTAGCACAATTGAATGTCTTATTTGATAATAATTTTGAATTAATTGTGACCCTTTAATTCATTGGATATTGCTAATGAAATGCTCGCTTTGATCGCTTAACGTCTGCAAACAGATTCATGACACAGTACCCACAAATGGGGCCCGAGGTAGACCTAAGAACACTTAGAGCCATTCGTGTGCTACGGCCCTTAAAATTAGTGTCTGGAATTCCTAGTGAGTAGTCATACATTTTATTTTCACTTTAAACAAACTTATATAATACGATACGGCTTAGCGTATGGTAATAGATCATTTTAAAGAATAGAGACATTTTTTTATTCTATATCTATTGCATGGTTTTGTTTATATAAAAGTTTTATGTATATACTTATATATACATGTGTACGTATTTGTATTGATGAGAGAGCTTGTGAGATCTCATGACAATCTTACCATATATATATATACATGTATATTATATACATACATGCATATAATAAGAAAGAATACTTATGTTGACAAAAATTTGTTTATTTAAATTTTACTAATGCAAATTATATTTTACAAATTATTCGCATGACCCACAACAACTTGCGATGGAACTCTACGATGTACAACATTTATCTTTCGCTGTATATAGGTTTACAAGTAGTTTTAAAATCTATAATCAAGGCGATGGCACCTTTACTGCAAATCGGACTCTTGGTGTTGTTTGCAATCGTAATATTTGCAATCATTGGACTCGAGTTTTATTCGGGCGCACTGCATAAGACTTGTTATAGCTTAGAAGATCCAAGTATACAAAATTTGTTACATATATTTTAAGTCAAGAGTTCAAATATCTTGTTTTCCTCTATGATCGTCTGCCTGGTCAGACAAACTAGTGAAAGAAGGGGAATCGGAGACACCCTGCAACACTGATAATAGCACAGAGAAGGCAGGAGGATCCTTTGTATGCAATAGTACGACGAGCATGTGTCTGGAAAAATGGGATGGACCAAATTCAGGCATAACAAGCTTTGATAATATTGGGTTTGCCATGCTGACCGTATTCCAATGTATCACAATGGAGGGCTGGACGTCAATACTATATTGGGTAAATACAATGACTAGAGATTTTACAGAAGACCTTTAATATGTTTGGTTTAAGCAAATAAAATCAAATAGCCATTTATTAAGTTGACAAAGCGTACTTTACAACTAATTGAAGTATATATTAACCTTCGAAAGCTAAGTTTCACATGTTATTTGTATTTATTTGTTTATGCTGATGAAAAATATAAGAAAGAACTCATAAAACAGGCTATAATCGTATTTATTATCTTTTTACAGACCAACGACGCATTAGGTTCAACATTTAATTGGATATATTTCGTGCCTCTTATAGTTATAGGGTCATTTTTTATGCTCAACTTAGTTCTTGGTGTTTTAAGTGGGTAAGTTGGCCTTAAAACTTTAATTCGGTTGCACACAATTCTCTGTCACAGTTTTATTTACATTTTGTATTATTTTTTCGAATGATCTATAGCATTCCAAGAAAATATGTGTATGTGAAAAGATCATTTCAGAAATCACGTCGCTTTTCACATCTGTGAAACAGCCATTCAAATAAAGCTTAACGCTTACGCAGTATCTGCATCTGTAATGAGAAATTTTAAGCTTAACGCTTCCTGTATTGATGATTTTGAATTTCAAAATATTCAATTTAACGAGTTTTATTCAATGCATATTGAATATCAAAGCTTTGTGTGCATATTTACAAAAATTTTATAGATGTACATACATATGTAGTACAGGTTTGTAAAATGTTAATACATATATATATGTACATATGCTCCAATATACATTCTTTGATAGGCATAAAATATATGTACATTCGAGCCCATTAAATACTTGTTGTTCATTAAAAAATATTACAAAAAAAAATTATGCAAAATGAGACAGAATATTTCATATAATTTAGTATGCTCAAAAAGTTGTTAAATAATATCACTCACAATGTTGAATAAGAAATCGTATAATATACGGCTAATTGATGAATAATGAAATTTTTATTTTTGTGCATAATTTGTTTTGGCTTATGTTTTACTAAAATGTATTTTTGAAAATTCAGAGAGTTTTCAAACGAGAGAAACCGCGTCGAGCGTCGCATGGAATTTCAGAAATGCCGCTTTCGTGCCATGTTTCAAACAGCAATGGTCTCATATCTTGATTGGATTACACAAGCAGGTTTTTAAATATGAAAATACAAAATGAAACTTAGCAAACTGCCATAATATTCGTATAATCACAAATTGGCTAAACCGTCATATCCTTAGAGTACTCGAATCTTGAAAAGAGATTTGCCCAACCTGTACTTCCTTCTACTTAGAAATATTACTAACCCCGCAACGTATATATTTATATACGGACACAAAAAAACAAATTAAAATAAAACTAGGAAAATACAATTACAAATACAATGTTTAATTGATCTGCATACTATATACGAACGTGTTTAAATTCATATTAGTTACATATGATATTATTAATAAAACGCAAACAATTCCAAATCCTCGGCAACTAACAATTTTGCTCTTGTCTAATAGTTTATATAACAATTTATTTAATGCTGCTAATTAAATCAATGCAATAAAACTGTTACTATACTTATCTACGAAATGCTGTTTGGTCCCACCACCTAAACCCCATATACATATAACAAATGATCTGGTAGCAACCCAGTTCGAACATGCTACTTAATTATTTCTATGAAGTATGCTATACCACTACAAAATTAGCTACATAATATGTTAATCCTCAATTAACTATATATCAATTTTTCCCAACTACCATACTTATTCTACAAACATACAAGGTACTTCTACACCAGTTTGTTATGCCTTTGCAATTTTTGTTATCGTGTACTAGTATAACTATCTAAATTAATATGTTCCAGTATTTAATAATATCAACGAAATGCTGTTGTGTTATGATTAGAGAACAATCCAGTCCATCAACAGTTTTTACAAATATTACTTATAACAAGTTCACTAAACTTTTTGATAGAGTTTTGAAACTATTTGATATAAACAACATAAAACCTAAAACTAACTGTACATTATGCTGTACTCTTGCAACTCAGAAGGATCCCCATATTTTCACATAACGGAAAACTATTCGTTAACTACGAATAACATTACTGGTATTTCGGAGATGTATACATACAAACATAGGTATACGGCTACCGCATAATGTATGTATGTATGTATATATATAATTGCTGGATCCAGCCACTGTGGCATTTACATAACATTAACTCAACTAACTAACTGCAATTCCAATTGAGTAAATATTTCGGACTTATTTCAAAATGTAAAGTGTTATGCACAGTATGCAACCAATACTTACTCATTTTAAAAAATACAAATCCTTTTTGAATTTTTATTTCTTATTGTTTTTATTTATTTTTTTCATGTATAAATAACTTTTCAACATGTACTCATGTATACATAACTTACAAAATATAAATAATTATATGCTCATTTTAAAACCCCATACACAAATATCTTTAAAAGGTAAAAAACTGAAAATTGTATTATGAAATGCAATACATATATATTTGTTCATTTGATCGTTCCTGTTTTTAGTTTATCATATTCTATTTGATTATTTTTTGTAGTGAATTCGCAAAAGAACGAGAAAAAGTAGAAAATAGACAAGAATTTCTTAAACTTAGAAGGCAGCAGCAACTAGAAAGAGAGTTAAACGGCTATGTTGAATGGATTTGTAAAGCTGGTATAGTATTTACCCCTTTCTTTTGTAACTTTATAAAAATATTTAAAACCTATTTCCTCATGCTTTAACCTACAAAATTGCATAAATACATTCATAATTTTATAATTACAATACCTTTAAATTCACAATTTAAAAAAAGTAAACATAATCTCACGAGAGTGCTCGATCAGAAGATGCCCCATTCATAAATGTATTCTGTGATTATTGTCCGAATTACATAATATTTTATACAGAATATACAGAAACCGACATTTATTGATATCCAGAAATTGACTAATTGTTTAAACTTAATGTGAGATACCTTTCGCGAAAGACCAGCTGCTGTTTAAAGTCCGCATCTTGGAGCGTGAATGTTTTGTGTGTGTATCGGGCTATTCTGCACATCAAGAAAGAAGCTCAAATGCTTTATACGACACCTCAACTCTGAGTACAGGTTATCTCTTAGTCGAACTTTTGTTTTCAGTATTATATATATATTCTTGATCAGAACGGCGAGTGATGTAGACATGTCCGTCTTTGTGAACGCTTAATTCGGATATTATAGAAGATAGGGAGTTAAGAGTTGAAACATATATTCTCGTTAACATACGAATAAGAATATTTTTTTGTGCCAATTTGTTTGTGATAAATTTTTGTATATCTACAAATGTTGATTCAAAAACAAGCTTTATAATTAAAGAATATAAGAAGTCTCCAAGTGGTGTGCATAGATGACAATTTGGATCCCAGTTCCCGTTCCGCCCCACATTGGAAATTCGCCGAAAGTCTCATAGAGATCAATTTGTAAAAATACCCTCGTAAATATTTGCGTTTGAATGTGTATTTCTTGATGTATACATAGAGTGAAGTGTGAATGAGTGTATTTCAACTGTGTATCTTCTAGCCGGGTACCTTCGCCTTGAGCACTCTCTCTTATTTTAATAATTAATATGTTTAATATATATCGCTATGCACCACAAGTGGCTTTTTGCTAGTTCTCCTATAACACACAATTTATTCTCAAATGTAACACACGGACACCTCGCAAATATTCTTCATATTCATTCATTACACAAGTACGCTTTTACTAAAATAAGGGAAATACAAAATATACCCAATCAAAATAAATACATATTTACATATTTGTTAATCCTAATATTGCTTGTTATAAAATTAAATGATTCGAAAATCCTTTATGAGCATGCTATGAACGTATTATAATCCGTCTCTCGTTATGATATCCTTTCAGAGGAGGTTATATTAGCCGAAGAGCGAACAACTGAAGAGGAGAAAATGCACATAATGGAAGGTTTGCTAATATTTAGGCTCTAATATGCGAGATTTCACTAATCATTTTGTATTTTAGCTCGTAGGCGAAATGCAGCCAAACGGAAAAAGCTGAAAAGTTTAGGAAAATCAAAATCGACCGACACTGAAGAGGAAGAAGCTGAGGAGGACTATGGCGATGACGGTAAGCATTTAATTGCTTATTACTATACCTGCCAGAAACTATTTGGGATACTGTGAACGAAACGACTCTTAAACCTTCTTAAATATTATGTTCCCATCAGGGTTTCAAGCGAAATCTTATTCGTTTGAGGTGGTCTCAAATCGCAAAGGTTTTGAATAACAGATTTGCTTAATACTCGCACAAAAAACAATTAAAAGCTTTTCTTCTGAAAAATTTACTTGTACTTTTGTCGAAAATGGCCCGGGTGGGATACCTTCCGTGCCCAGCTTCAAATTACCGTAATGTGCATTATTACCTATGCTGAAATGTACAAGTGAGATTCCCGAAAGTATATTCCTAATTAAAACGTTGTATTAAGTCGGTTTATATATAAGAATATCATGTCATATCCTGAACAAATGCGTATATACAGGGGATATACAGAAATCACTTCCAATCAAATTCCGACCCATTGCCAATTCTGTTTTCAGTTGGCTTAAAACCTCAAGAGACTTGGTAAGAAAATTACGCCAATTTAGTACAATGTGGAGGACGATATAAATCAATTGAATGTCAGCTCCCAAGGAGAATTCTGCGAATAAAGTACAAATGCGATGGGTTGAGGTTTGATGAAACAAATTTTAGCGCAGATCACAGCTCAGTCAAATATTCTCCAACGTGTTGGCAGCCTATGCATATGCAACCCAATTGACTCTCAATGGAATGTGAACGGCCTATGCTCGAATAGACCATTGTTGCAAGCCAAAGAGCTCGGAGTTGTATAGCTATACTCAGGAGAACAGATTTAACACTTGTTGAACAATAAGCCATAACATTACAATGGTTGTCAAAATACTATGTCTGCTTGGGGAACTTACACTGGCAGCAGTCTAAATATTGCCAAGGAACCACATCTTCCACAAGGCTTCCAAAAGGCCAACTCAGAGAAAGGTCCAAATACAAAGCCTTAGGCTGTTTCTGGTGCGAAGATAGTGATTAACTAGGATCTTTTCTGCATTTACCTTTAGTCTTCCTTGTCAAATGAGCTTATAAAAGGAATAAAAGAAAATAACGTATCTTGTCGACCGCCGCCTGAACAAAGCACACATATTAAAACCAAAAAGAAGCAACTAAATCCAAAAACAAACTCCAAGCTGGAGTTTTTGAAAAACGCGTCTGCTCTTTAAAACGAGCATTTTTAAAGCTGAAAAGAACTGAAATTTTGTAGTATTCGGCCATTTAAGTTGGAAGCAGTCGTCCAAGAAGGATTCAGTAGGTTCAGCATGTATTTATATATACATATATATTTATATAAGTTTAAAAAATGGTTTTGATCGTTCCCCAAAGAATTAAAACATTATTTTTTTTTTTCGTATAGACTTGCATTTTTTAAGTACGCAATGATCGGAAAAGTTGATGAAAAACTTTTTACAGTGACTAGAGCTTTGAAAATTCATCCACCAAAGAATTCAAAAAGTTAGAATCTTTCCTGGGCTTAGGTTGCGAGCCTTAGTTTATTTTGGTTCATATGGGCCTCCAATCAAGAAAAATTATTTTTGTTTCGTTGGATCTGTTTATTTTTTTAATTTTAAGGTTTAGCTTCTTTTATTTTAGCCGCTTTAAAAGTATGGTAATATGTGTCATATAACGCCCATATCTTAACCGATTTTAATGATCGGTCAATCTTGACCAATATTATTTTATGGTTTTTAAAGGCATCATATTTTGAAAAACAAAAAAAAATTGTTTATACAAAAGTTTCAATAATCCAATAAAGCATTGTTGCAGCCTTTTCGACTTTTTTGTAATCGCCTAGTGTAATCGATAACTTCATTCTATAAATATACATATACCACAAAGATGTAGATGCAGTTTCGCTTAGATTTTCTTTCTCAAATACTTTTCTATATCGCAAACACAAAATGCGTACCAAAACATACATAATTGTCGTTGCTCGCATTATTGGCCTAGCACTGTGCTTCGTAAACTCAAAAATTCGTATCTTCTTCTTATATTGGGCTCGGTATTACCACTAACCATACGATATGTACACTCATCAACACTCATTGATCAATTCAAACCCTAAATCATAAAAAAGAAGGGCGCGCGACAGACGCGTGCCAAAAATGATATTTTCTTTTGCGCCCATGATCTGCCCATTCACACACATTTGTGTCTGTGTGTGTGTGCGCGCAGAGCTCGAAATTCAGAAATCCCAAAATATTGTCAAATTTGCATCGGACAGGCAGGCAGGGACCAACAAGCACACATGCGCATAAATGCTTCTATTCATATACAAAATACGCAAGTATGCGTGAATAGCAAGTCCAAAAACTTGTAAATGCACACATGCCAACGCTTAGGTACGCTTTCCAACAATAACGAGCTAAAATGAAAGAATTTCGCATCGACTTGGCAAACCCTTTCATTATTTCATATTACTCGTCCCCTCAAAAGGGAAGAAATGCCACCGACTTTTGACAAAAATTGAATTTGTGGTAATTTTAAACGGTACCTAGACATAAAGAGAGCATTGAGAGCGCTGAGAGTAAGTGCGAGCGAGATAAAAATAAACAGCGATGCCGTTCTATCGCACAAATCATATGGAAGAGAGTAAGCCAAAGCAGTTTCCTGTAGTGGGAGCGAGATAAAAAACAGCGATGCCGTTCTATCGCACAAATCATATGGAAGAGAGTAAGCCAAAGGAGTTTCCTGTAGTGTGAGCGATCAAAAGATGTCATATGTATGTATATCTTACTCGCTCGTGGGACCAGATGCATATTTTTTAAAGTGACCAACAAGTTTCCACTGTTTGTCCCATCTATGTACATATATGTTTTTTGGTTAGTGGTTATGCTTAGAGAGAGTAACACTGCTGATAGTGGCAGCCGAGCGCCGGCCTCGAGAGCCGAACGATCAGTATCATTGACTAATAAACTGAATTAATTACCTTTGCAGAAATACGACTTAGAATTTTTTTCTATTTTAAACAAAAAAGGGTCCTCACAGCAAACAACAAACTTATAGTATAAAATATAAATATTTTATTAAGGTCATTTAATTTTTTACTTAATAAAAATCAGAGTTCTCAAATTTCGGTCCTCACTTTCTGGTTGTCTGCAAAAAAACAGTTTTTGTCGGACAGAATGAATAACGGCAATACGCAGTTATGTTTCTACGTACCAGACCCTGGGTCCGAGCAAAAACACTTTTCGTCGTTTTTTTTTTCTTACATGTTTTTCCACGACCACTGAACAGAAAAAAAACTGCCAAAGTGTCTTTTGTAGATATGCATGTACATATGTATGTATGTACATGCCTAGCTGTATTATGTCGTGCCCTCTTTTTCTCTCTCTCACTCTCGCTCTAGCTTTAATTGATATCGTCATACGACAACATCAAGAAAATACACTTTCCGCTTCCACTTTTTTCGTTATGCCCTTCGACATGCACACATTATCTGTGCGCTCGACCGAATGTGTCCTGTTAAGATGTTACTGTTAGACAGAACTGTGTGTATTGCTCAACCAGAACCACGAAACAGAGTAGACTAGCGGAACAAAATAAAGTGTTCGATGGAGAGCGAAACCGTATCTGAAACCGCATTGAAAATATGTGTTGACTGTTATTTGCGATCTCTGATAAAAAAAGATCAGATTCTTCTCATTATGCCTGACTAGACAAAGAAATAGATGATAGAGCATTTGAATGTGTGTGCCGTTTGTTAACACAGGCACAAAATTGAATAAAAAAATCTCTGGCTCAAACTCGCGACAAACGCCGTGACCTACTAGTACGCACATCCACACAACACAAACATATGTATGTACATATGTTTGTAGGTCTCGGGGTTTTTTGAAAAGCTATGCAGGGAGAATGAGTTGCACACAAGTGCTCATTCAATACGGCAGCATGTACACGTGCTCCCATGCTCATATGAAAACGTATCAGCCGCAGCGACGTTGTGCGAGATACGGCTTCATACTGATCTTAAAAAAGAAGGGCGCGCGTCAGACGCGTGCCAATAATGAAATTTTGTGTGTGTGTGCGTATGTGTAAAGGTCGAAAATCAGAAATCCCAAAAACTTGAAATCTTATCAATTATGCATCGGACAGGCAGTCCGATAAATGCTTCTATTCATATACAAAATATGCAAGTATGCGTGAATAGCAAGTCCAAAAAATTTTAAATGCACACATGCCAACGCTTAGGATCCCTTACCAACAATAACGAGCTAAAATGCATGAATTTCGCATCGACGTGGCAAACCCTTTCATTATTTCATATTACTCGTCCCTTCAAAGGGGAAGAAATGTCTACGACATTTGAGAAATAATTGGATTTGTGCGCATTTTTGCTTGTGCGTACACATGCACACACATTCACTCAATCGATCTTTGGACATAATGAGAAAGCCCTGAGAACAAGCCAAACAGATTCCTGTAGTGGGAGCGAGATAAAAAACAGCGATGCCGTTCTATCGCACAAATCATATGGATGAGAGCAAGCCAAAGCAATTTCCTGTAGTGTGAGCGAATAAAAAGGCAGCGACGCCGTTCAAACACACAAATCATATGTATATCTTACTCTCTTGCTGTCTGGGCATGTCGCGATTTTGGACCAGATGTCAACAATTTTGAATGTCCACTTTTAATGTACTGCATGTCTCATCTATATGTTGTATGGTTAGTGCACGCACTCATGGGGCTCACTCGCATTCAAAATTCATGTTTCGATCATTCTAACATATATTACGTTGATGCCAAGCTATTCGATTTTTACAATATTCCGTGTTCGGGAAATAGTGCATTGAAACTTTATTACACTTGTTAAAGTTATGGTAACATATTTTAAGAAACAGTATAATGCTGCTCCAAAATGATTAATTAACTTATTATATTTTGACTGCCAGCTTGCAATTCGATACCGAGATAAAGACAAAGACAAGTGCGTGTTTTGTTCGCACTTTGTATTTGCGACCTAGGCTGTTAGGCATTATTAACTAAAAGATTCTGAGCGA